CACACAAGTTTTGAAAGATGGCAAGCTATGATTGATCAGGGTCCAGCATGAAGTCTGCCACTTCGACAAGAATTTATAATTCTTTGATCGCCTAATCTGACAATGACAATCTACTCTGACTGTGACTTTTTTTTTGCCCCCCCCCCCCCCCCCCCCCCCCGCCCGCCAGCTTGAGAACCACTGCATTAGAGCGACAACAGACAGAAAGAGGAGGTCAGAAGATTCCTGCAGACTGGACCTGGTCTCTAGAAGCTTTAACCTGCACTTTTACATGTCTACATCAAGTTTGCAAAAGACCAGCTCCCTGTTGACCCACGACCGTGTTACTTGCTGTGGGCAAAGAGAGAGATAATATTTCATCATCAGAAGGCAAAACCAGCCAAACACAACACTAACAGCATGTGACCAAAATAGGAACGAGATGAGAACCGTAACTTAACTGCTAGCTGGGTTTTAATGAATCATAAATGAGGTTCTGCTCTGCTCTTAAATTTAAGTTTTGCCAATGCAGCCTGGATAATATTAAGAGAAAGAAAAGTCACTAATATGAATTACTTCTATCATTGTTTGTGTTATTATAATATACAGTGATAACTTTTAAAACAAATGACCTTTCCTTATGAAATACTTTGTTAGAAGACATGAAATATTGGTTGATGGATTTTCGAGCAGACGGCAGATTTGTTTTCGCAGATAAAAAAAAAACATTTTAAGCATTTATCAGCTTCGTAGTCTATGATGCAAGACACTGAAATGAATCAGAAATATTAAACATTTCATACTGACATCTAACCTGCCTGACATTAACAACACTGAGAATCTTTCATTTTAAGCTTTTATGTTCTTACTGCTGATATTTGTTTGAATAGAAAACCCAAATGAACTGAAACCAGTGAACTGGAGGGGAGAAAAATCAATGTACAAAGTGTCCGTATGATTTGGATTTGTTTTAAAGGGTTAATATGTAACATTTCTCCATGAAAATGTCATAAAAAACAAAACAACTAGACCTATGTTATACACTCCCCTTTATGAGATACACCTGGTCAATTGTTTATCAATACAAATAGCTAATCAACCAATCACATGGCAGCAACTCAATACATTTAGGCATGTAGACGTGGTCAAAACAACTTGCCGCAGGCTCACCATAATTGGACAATGGAAGATTGGAAAAACGTTGCCTGGTCTGATGAGTCTTGATTTCAGCTGCAACATTCAGATGGTAGGGTCAGGATTTGGCAGCATGAAAGCATGGATCCATCCTGCCTTGTATCAAAGGTTCAGGCTGCTGCTGCTGGTGGTGTAACGGTGTTGGGGATATTTTCTTGGCACACTTTGGGCCCCTTAGTACCAACTGAGCATCGTTTAAACGTGACAGCCTACCTGAGTATTGTTGCTGACCACGTCCATCCCTTTATGACCGCAGAGTCCCCATCTTCTGATGGCTACTTCCAGCAGGATAAAGCACACAGTCACAAAGCTCAAATCATCTCAAACTGGTTTCTTGAACATGACAATGAGTTCACTGAACTCCAATGGCCTCCACAGTCACCAGATCTCAATCCAACAGAGCACCTTTGGGATGTGGTGGAACGGGAGATTCACATCATGGATCTGCAGCCGACAAATCTGCAGCAACTTGGTGCTATCATGTCAATATGGACCAAAGTCTCTGAGGAATGTTTCAACACCTTGTTGTTGTATGCCAGCAAGAATTAAAGCAGCTCTGAAGGCAAAAGGGGGTCCAACCTGGTACTAGCAAGGCGTACCTAATAAAGTGGCCAGAGAGTGTATCTTTTGTTGAGTTGCGTACTTACATTATCCCAAATGTTTCCAACAATGTTCGAATCCAGAAAATACCATAATTTTATTCAAGGTAATGTTTCATTTGGTCGCCTGTCAGTGGCGTCACATCACCTTTACTATAACTTCCGGGGGGAAACTCAGAGAACTCAGAGAGTGAGGAAGGAAATGTGCGAATGTGACTAAACCTAATGTGAATAAACGGTGATACATTACCTTCTCAAGTGAGATTTTTCATCAGCCATGGAGGTTTGTTTAACAATGAAGACATGATCCCACGTTACTTCACGATGTCATCAAACTACACCTTTTGTTATTGTTTTGATGTGAGAGACAAATTGCCTGAAATGTGCAAAACAACCACGTCTCTGGATGAGGGTTGAAAACTCGTCGCTCCGTTGCCTCACTGACTCAGTGGATGAAAGTGGCGAAAGACAGGGGTTTGATCTGCAGTCTGTGTCCATTTGCTGGCTGCAATGAGCCATTTCATTGGGTTTAATAAAGCAGAGAGTGTTAACAACTGAAGCCAAACCCAACTGCTCGCTAGTCAATTGTATTTTTATTTCCAAAGCAGAAATCTGCCTTTAGTTGGTTTCTCAGTGAATTACAGATCAATAAAAACCTATAGGCCTGTTTTATGTTGTGTGTTGATTTTTAATGAACAAACATTTACCCTTAAAGGATAACTCTGGTGATGTTAGATGCTTTTCATCATTAAATACTATGAAAAGACCAAAACCAATCTAACAAGTCTAATGTGTGTATTAAAGCCTGATTAATGTTCTTCCTGACTGTAGTTTATTCTGACCCACATTCACTGTCCTGCTGTCACGAATACTCACTAGAACACCACATGTGGATTCATCCGCCGCTGAAAATAGTCCCCAACAAACACACAACTTTCCGACTGTTTGAGCGACATTTGCTAAAAACGACAGTTAAGCTCTTTATTTGTGAGGTGTTTTTAAAGATGTACGTCTTCAGTAGGAACCAATGAGCCGAGAGCCACAGACAGCGTAGGGAAGTCAGAAAGTATTCAATTCAATTTTATTTATATAGCGCCAAATCACAACAACAGTTATCTCAGAGCACTTTTCATGAAAGAGCAGGTCTAGACCGTACTCTGTGATGTTATTTACAGAAGCCCAACAATTCCCACCAAGAGCAGCACTAGGCGACAGAGGCAAGGAAAAACTTCCTTTTAAGAGGCAGAAACTTCGAGCAGAACCATGACTCAGGGTGGGCGGCCATCTGCCTCGACCAAGTAGAAAGAAAGTATTACGACTAATAACACTTTGTTGATTTGGTGTCTTTTATGACATTACAAAAATAGAGGAAAATGCCAGCCTTCTTCTTTAAAACAGAGCCAAAAATCTAATAAGTTGTCAAACTCACATTATTGTCGTCATAGCGCAGCAGTGCTACAACAATCTGAGTGACAGAAATAAAAGCAGACGTGATGTCTAACAAAAAGTTTCCAAGCTAAAGTTTATTTCTATGGAAAAAAAAAAAAAAAAAAACACACTCAAAAATTAACCTGACTTGCTCTGTGGTCAGTTTGATAGAGAAGAACAGAAGGTCTGATACGGTCAGAAGACTAAACAGTTCTGTAGGTGTCATCTGGATGGGCCCATCATGGCGGTGTGAGGGTTTGATCTGCGGCCCGTGTCCGTCCGCTGGCTGCAATGAGCCATTTCATTGGGTTTAATAAAGCGGAGAATGCCAACAACTGTCATCTGAGTCGTGAAGCCAAACCTCCCCACGTGCTCCAGATTGTAGAGTAAAAAGAAACGAAGCAGCAGCCTCAGACAGCGTGAGTCCTCCTGGCCATAAGGAGTCTATTATGTTCCTGTGTCACGCAGCCATCTTTGCGCCGGCTCAGTGCCACGCTGTGGCGTTTGTAAAGGCCTGGTCTGGCAGAGTGCTGGCACACAGCGGTCAGGACACGCTGCTAAATCCCATTAGAGTCTGTCCAGAGGATACGAGGCTGCCAGTTACTGTCAGTCATCATCAGGCTTTTCCCTCAGGGAGCCGCAACGCTTTTAATTAACATTAAAAACAAGAATCACAGTGACAAGCTGATGAGCTTTAATATATGAAACAAATATCACAACCACCTGTAGAGGGCACAGATCTACTACAGGCCTGAAACGTAACTTCCTTTATGTGGCGCTTTAAACTTTAGTGCTTTAGGTTAGAGGCACTGAGATCCAACACAGCAGGACTGAACGAAGAGAACAATGAAAGCTTCAGAACATGTGGGTGGCAGCCAGGATTTTCCAAATATTAAAATCATAAGCCCCCCCTAACAACAACAACAAAAAAAAAACTCCAACCAATTACAATTTTTATTGTTACACTAGCTAGAGTTGAGGAAAATTAAGTTATGCAGCCCTGGAGGAAAGGAAACTAAATAAAGTTAGAAACAAATATAAGTACAGAAAATTATATTTTAAATTACTACAGTTCATCTTGAGAAACACACAAATCTGAAGTATAACTTAATATTCGGGACCACTCCCACACATCTCATTTTTAAACTGAAATAATTTTAATAGGGATATAACCATAAAAAAAAAAAAAAAAAAAAACTTAAAATCACTGCCACATGTTTCAAATAACCTTTGTATTAGCTGAACTTCACCTGTTAAAGAATAAAAGTTGAGTTTCATTATTCATTAAACATGTGATTTCATAAATTATTTGTACCTACAGCTTCACAAGTTTGGGGGCTTTTATTTTTGTAAATTAAAGTTTTTCTGTTGCACTTTTTCATACAATTTATTTTTAATACTTTTTGACGCCCAAAACAACCCAACCCCAACCCACCTGGGTAAGATGCAAATGGACTTTTCATTATTAAGGAGTTGCTTGGTTTGTAGTCACAAGCTACTGTACTTTGTTTCTCTAGAAAATCCGGGTGGAGGTTATAACTCACACCACCTCACTCATCCTTCCTCCCCTCCTTGACTCTGATGCTCTTCTGCTTGGCCACCTCCGTGTGTCGGCCCACAGCAGCGCACTGAGACGCTTCTAATCCTCTTTTGATGAACTCTGTTAATAGACCTCCTGCAGCGGACTTTGGCTCTGTTCATTAGGCAGCACACGACCCTCTCCACGCCCCCGGAGCACGCACTGCGCGTCCCCGCGCATCCCATGTCCATAAATTCACCCATCAAAGTGAAGAAAGTTGTTGAAGTTCTCGTTGAACTGGCCTTGTTTGGTCTTTGGTGCACGTTTTGTTCCGAGGAAGAAGAGGAATGCCGCCGAGTAAAAGCCTCTTTGCGCCTTTCATCTCTGTGGATCCGGAGGGAGGAGTCGGACCTGCAGCCCCGGTGGCTCTCCACGCCGACATCCACGCTCTGCTGCAGCGGAGCAGGGGAGCAGAGCGCACGAGACGCGGATGCGACCACAGAGACCCTCCATGCGCCATCGTGGAGCTCCGGCTGGGCCCCGCCGGAGGCGCACTGCACTACCTCCAGCCGGACAAGTACGCTCTGGAGCGGGCGCAGAGACGGCGACGCCTTGCTGCCAACGCCCGGGAGAGGAGGAGGATGCTGGGCCTCAATGTCGCCTTCGACCGGCTCCGGAGCGTCATCCCCAACCTGGAGAGCGACAAGAAGCTCTCCAAATCTGAGACGCTCCAAATGGCGCAGATTTACATCGCCACTCTCAGCGAGCTGCTCCAGGAGGGCGCATGCGGAGCGTCAGCAACGACCCGCGCACCGCGGCCCCCGGGGCCCGCTACGCCCTCACAGGGACTGGCAAGTGAGCCGTCGGGGCCGGTCAGGGACTTTCAAACCGGTAAAAGCAGCGGAGGCCCGTTGCGCACAGAGGAGGAGCAGAGGAGTTATGATGAGGACATGTGGGAGAGAAAGAGTGGGAGCAAGTGACATTTAAAAACTTTAATCAGTTTTTCTTTTTTAAATTAGACTTTTTTTCTATTTTCCTACAAAACTAATTATTTGCCCTGAAGCAAGAAAAGACATTAAGCTCCAATACGTCTGTCTTCAATGCAACTTTTCATGATCTTCAATTTACTTCCAAAAGAATGGCGTTTTTGAGATGATTGACAGGTCCTGGTCTCTGTCTATTCCTTGAGTTAAAATATATTTTTCTTGCCAACAGTACAAAGAATGAATTTGTGATATTTATTATGCAACATATCTTTTCCCCCTTATGACCAAGCAGGTTGTAGCAAAGTTTATGGTCTTTGAAAAGAAGCAGCAAAATTGTTTTCCAAGAATTGGGGGGGTTCAGATAAAAGAGAAACTGAAATTCACTTTAGTAAGTTTATCTGGCCAAATGATTCTTTGAAAAATCATCACCAGAGAAAAGAAAGACAGAGCAGGAAGTACTGAAAGTAGCAATTTTTATTATTTTAAAATTATTTACAGGTAACCAAAGACATCAGTCTGCAAATTGGTACAAAGATCAAGTTTTCCTGCAGTTGGCTTGTTAAGAAGCTCTGTTTGTCTGTCCAAAACAACATCACAGAAAAGGCTTTAGAAAATGAAAAATAGAGTCAGATTCAGAAAAGTAGAGTCTACCAGTCTAAATTTAAATTTAATCCACCCCACCCACAATCCCCAGCCTCCCCCTATTACCCATCAGCCTCTCCTCCTACATGAGGAAATTAATCTATGTACAAGAACTATGTACAAAAAGCTCTTTCATTCATTCTTCCAGACGTCTGTGAATAAAGCTCTTGTAAACTTAAAAAAAAGGAGTGTGAGGGTTAAACTCTGTGTGTGTGTGTGTGTGTGTGTGTGTGTGTGTGTGGTAATGATCCCAGAGGAACAGACAATTAACGGGATGAACGTGCTTGATGACGCGTGCTTCAAACTTCAACAACTGATGAAATTAAAACATATACAATTATATGTTAAATTTAAAGCCTACACACCAAACAGAAACTGACACCTCTGCCCCACCCTGAAAATACAAACTACAGGGTTTGAGAGTGAACACAGAGACACACGCGTTTGTTTGTACTCTATGGAGAAGTTGAGGAACAAATAATTAAAAATTAATTTAAAAAAAGCGTTAAAATGTGACTTTGCTCAGACAAAAGGTGTCAAGGTGACGATAAAAAAAAGTAACACTGCATTACATTTAATTTAGTCAAGAGAGATCATTTTCATTCTGTTTGGGAAGTGAATCATTGAAGTGCCACTGCGACCAACGAACGGCGCTATTCCAGTTGTATTATGGGACACGTAGGATCCAGTGTTTTTGGCGTTTCCCCTTTAATAAAACCAACTTTTACTTTGTCTTTTCATCTGTTTTTACAGCCTTTATTGATAACTGTTTAGCATTTATAAGCGTGTACACGTCTAATGCTGGAGGAGGAGAAGAAGAAAAGTTTAGGCTTTGAATTCCTTTGAGTTACAATTTTGGAGTGATCGGCGATCATGCAGGGACAACGGAAGCAATCAGAATTTGCACTCTCCTCTTGGTGCTGCTGAAATGCATTCTGGGAACAACAACGCAGGCTAAGGGAAATGTGAAATACAGCACTTCACCAAAAAAACTCTACACCTGCAACGTGTAGAACAGATCAGAATTGACAGTGTCCGTGAAGTTTAAACTACAAAGCGAACTTTGGGATTTAACAGCTACAGCCTTTGTCAAAATACAATCGAAGAGGAAGAAAACAAAGTATCAACTCGATGTCTGAAAGCCTCTCCGCTGGTGGTTCGCTTCAAACCAAAGAAAAGCTGCTCGCCTTCACCTCTCAGACCGGGGCGCCTCGGCTGCCTTTGTAATTGAAGGCTTTTCTCAGAGCGGCGAGAACACATGAGGGCGGTAATTGAAAGGACCTGAAGGAGGACAGGTTCTGGTCCGGAGGGCTCGGGTCCTGCCAAGACACAAAGCTTTGATGTTGAGTGAGAAGGCGATCGATTCTTTGAAAGGAAAAAGTTTCTACTTTTGGGGGCTGGGGCGTTCAAAGTTTCCAGAGCATTTTAACAACCTTGACAGTCCTTCTGTTTTTAGTCTCAGGTGTGTTTGTTGGGTTTTGACTGACTGAGTGGGCTTGGCATGCTGGGAGAAGCCCCTGTTACGATAACAGCACGAGAAGAACAAGCTATTTAAAATCAGCTAGTTTGCTACGGAGGTTTAAGAGGGAACAAACGCTCTTACATCCAAAGAGAAAATGGCTGCTACACCTAGAAACAGACCTCACACAAACATTTACAGGCAGTTCCACCTTAAAATACCACCTCAAACTCACAAAAGCCTGCAATTCGGGGTCTGGACTGGTCATGTCTGTACTCTTCAGCCAGAAACGATCAATACTTTAGATTTCTCTGATTCAAACCACCTCCTTCCGACAGAGTCGAGAGGTCAAAGCAGCAAAAAGAGAAGAAGAAGAAGATCACAGCGTGTAAAGCTATTATTCTGGTCAGCAGTTGTTTTTTTTGTTTTTTTTTTGAAAACCACTTGAGTTGTTTTGGCGATTATCAGCTCCAGAGGCAGAGCTGAGGGGCGCAAGGCTTTGATGACAGACGGGGGAAAATGGCAGCTCCCCTCCAATCTGTCAGCGATCAATACAAAAGGGGGAGGAGGGGGGGAGCAGGTGAGGGAAGAGCTGAACTGTGAGGAAACTTTGAAAGGAAACGAATCAAAAGCAAAAGCTGAAAGAAAACTCAGCGTTCTGAGCTGAACTTTTATAAATAGAGGAAGAGAACCAAAAAAATAAAAAATACTGACTCGGATTGAATCTTCAATAAGAGTTAAATAAAATCTGATCACAGCTCGGGAGGGGGTGCCACACCTCATTACGTCATAAAAGTTAAATTCATCTGAGGAATTTCAGGAAAACACCCTTTTCGTTCAGTTACCATGTTCCCACTTCTGAAACCATAAACAGTTGCTTTAACTGGAGGACGAGGAGGACGAGGTCTGGTCACGACACGGAGAGGAAGATGTGTGTTTGTAGTTTGTGTGTTTCCAGCAGTGAACTTAATCTGAGGTGATGATGAAGATGAAGGAGAAGGTTGTGGGTGTCAAAGTGTGTTTGTGTGAGAGAGAGAGAGAGACGGGCTTCTCTCTAGCAGTGCTCCAGATAGTCAATGATCCGGGAGATGGACTTCTGTCCTGTGGTGCCGACGTCACACTGCAGAGAGAGAGTAGAGGTCAGTTACCACACACACACACACACACACACACACATACACACACACACATACACACCGTGCTGAGGACGCGAGGTTGTGATATTCACTGACCATCTCATTGTTCAACAACTCATCCTGTCTATATCTGGGACGGGCCTTTCGCTTCGCTTTCCTTTTGAGAGTGAGAGAGGGCGAGAGTCTCGCCAAGACCCTGGTCCCTCTCGCTTCATCTCGTCTTCTCAAAGACGCCCCTCCAGCGCTTCGCGGCCCAGGGGCAGAGCGCCCCAGGCTTCAGAGGCAGCTGCAACAACATCTAACAGCAGGATGAGAGGCCAGTACACCACTGCTCCCCCCTCAAAAGTTATTCCCCACTGTTTGTCATCACGTCTCTTTGCCACTTGTCGATACGAGCTCCATGACATCAAACATAGTGGGGCCCAAGCTCCATGTGGAGCCGGGACGTGTTCACGCACGTGTTTTGTACTGTACGCTGTTGTTGGCAACCAGGGCTGGGCACTTCTTTCATTGCTGCTGGCTGTTTATCAGACGTTGTGTTTGCAAAACCTCTGAAGTCGCGCTGAAGATATTGATCTCGACTGATTGAGAGCAGGCACGGGGAGGAGGGCTGCGACTGTGCACGAGCATTGACGGACACTGCATTACACACTGGTCTCTGATTGGTTGTTCTGACAGTCAGCAAGCAGTGGGATTTTTTTTTTCTGTCTCATGTACTAATCAGGAAGCAGTTTCAGCAAGTATGCTAAGATTTTATTTTTATCAAAGTTACTTACTGAACCTTTAAGAAGTTTTATATATGCAAATAACTTCCATAAAACAGAGATTTAGTGTTTATTTGACTAGTCGAAGTTTTTATTAGGGCTTTGCTTTTAATTCAAACTGTAGAGTATTTAGCTGATCACTTAAATTCATCCACTCATAACCCATGCATACATCATGCTAATTATTCAGGTAATTAATTCATTGACATTGTGATTAATAAAGTGATTATTTCACTTAAGTAACCTGCTACTACACTGGCCATGTGTTGCGTAACATTAGCATTTACTGCAGTTTTCAAATTAAACATTTACTTCTGGATGTTTTGTAAAATATTAGTTTTTCTACTTTATATTTCCTGAACTGTACCCGACTTATCCTTGTGTTCGTAAAAAGATCTATGATTTGTTTTTCTTCAAGATCATTAAGGACATTCCTAATATGACAAGGTATTAAAACAGCGGTGACTCACAGTGAGGTTCATGAAGTTGAGGAACTTTTTCAGCATTTCTGTCATGATGGAGAAATCCCCTTTAGGCAGGTTCTCCCTCACAGTAGTCACATTCAACTGGTGGAGAGACAAAAAAATTTTATACACACAAAATAAAGAATCAGAAGCAGGAATTTGAAAAAGAGGATGCTGATATTGAACAACCAATGGAACCTTTTAGAGAAGCATACAACGAAATAATGAAGTATCATTACACAAAAGCTCACTGTGGTTTCTTCTGTTGTTACTTTCACATATTCAAACGGTTAAAAATCCTCACGAGGTGGAAACTCCAAGTTATTTAAGGTGTGAAGCAATAATGATGGGAAACCAATGCACCTGCTTGTTGAGTCAGATTTTTGTTTTGGACTTTGAACAGAGCTTCAGTGTTTTACTGGCTGCTGATCAGCACCAGCAGCCGTTTCTCACGGTCATTTTTCAGCTCATTGGCTTTACAGGACAGAGTAAAAATAGAAAGCCGACAACTGGTCAAACACAGGGTTGGGAGAGTATCGATGCTTCACTTCTACATCTGGCATCGGTCTTGTTTTGTACGTGTGTGCGACTCACCGAGCTCCCCTGACACAGGCAGCCCAGCAGCAGTGCTGTGTAGGAGGCCACGATGCTGTCCTCCATGTGCTTCCCTGCATGTTGCAGAGCTGAGAGGAGGAAGATGACGACATGGAGGAAGAAACATTTTCAGTTATAATGTTCTCAAATCAACACACGTAAGCTGGTAACATCTTAAAAAACAAACAAACCCCAACATGGTTGTACCTTTGTTGAGGTCCAGCTCCTCGTCCTCCTCTTCCTTCTCCTTCTTCTTGGCTTCTTCCTGTTTATCGGAGTCGTTGTTGTTGTCGTTGGCGACCCACTGGATCTCCCCGCCGGTCTCCTGCCACTCTCCGCTCTGGTCCAACGCAGGTTTCGGAGCTTCCTTGATGAGGTCATCTGTCTGCGCCTCAGCCTGGATGGCGGCCCGCTCCCGCTGGAGGAACAGCTGAGAAGGACAAACAGGGAGCCAGTGCATCTTCAGTACATCTTTTGATCTCTGTACTTTTTATATATTTAGATTTCTATTTAAGTTCATGTGTACGGTAAGCACCAATTTATACCAAGACAAATTCCTCGTATGTGAAAATGTACCTGGCAATAAAACGGATTCTGATGTTACTGCCACCGGGGGGCGCCAAAGTCAGAAAGGTTAAAATCCTACATATGAGAGCTTTAAACTTAACGTGGTAACTGTAGAAATGTGACAGTCGGGCATGCATTTCTTTTGTTTATTTATATTTAATTTAAAGGTGCTACACAAATACCTTTACATCTACTGTAACTCCACTTAAATTCAACCGTCATCTAAAAAAACAGATGTGTTAAATTTGTCTCGAATTCTGAAGTCAGGACAAGTATTAGATCTTTTATTAATCCCAGTTTCATGAAGCACTCCATATTACTAACACACATTACTAAAGTCACATCTTGCTGGACTTTTTTACCCTAAATAAATCATTTGCACCCCCCTACTCTTTTATTTTCAGGGTACCCTCAGGATTCTCCAAGTTAAATTTAAGATTTAAGACCTTTTTAATACCACCTAGGATTAAATTTGATGCCAACTTCTCGGTCATACAATGTACAATCAGCTAGAATTTTAAGCCCGAGAAAAGAATAAGTTACCTGAATTTAATAAAACATTATACACAACAGCTTTGTGGTGTGTTTGTACTTTGATAACATAAAATGAATAAAATATTTGTCACATTAAGTTTTGAAACAACAAAAAAAAAAAACCAAACTAAATAGAAAATAAAAAAATTAATCTAGTGCAATATGAGTTGCTGCAATAAGTTATACCTTGGCTAGATAAGATATGTAACGTAAATGCCAGTTGCTTCAGTGATTATTCATCCCGTGCTGCTTTAACGTAAGGAGACATCGGGGTGATGTAGCTGAATGCGCGTTACTACAACAGTGGAGCATCGCTGAAACCCAGACACGGACCTCGTCCAGTAACGTTACCGGTGCTGCCGTATAACATCCTACAGTCACAGCAAGCAAAGGACAATGTAATGTCACAAAAATATGTTTAGAATAAATTTTAAGACTTTTTAAAAATACTTTTAAGACGCCCTGTATTTCTTCGTTCTCGTTAGTCTCTGCATGTCATCAGGCTGCCGCTGCTGATTCTACAGTTGACCTCACTGGAAGTCAGTCTGGATAAGCGCATGAGGCAAATCTGATTATGTGGGATGATTTGATTTAAATAATTTATGGTCCTCATGGGAAACTGAGCTGCCACAGCAGTCCAGAACACGCAGACGAGATGAACTGAGACCAGGATAATATGAATATTAATTTACAGTCTAACATGTAAATGTGATCAGCTTGAAATATTTCTCATTCAGCACCTGCTGCATTAATTACTCTGGTGCTGCTTGTGCTGCTCAAACCGTGTGCAGAGGAAAGAGAGATACTGCAGGACGCTGTTCACCGCTGTGAGCACCACAAACTTCATTATTTTTGGGGTCGAGGCAGAAAAAAAAAAAAAAACTAACTACATAAAACTAGAGGCAAGTCAGAAAACATCCATAACAAGGTGAACCCAAAAAACAAAAATATATGTCTTTTATTCTGTTAAATCCGCCCGCACTAAAATAAATCTGATATAACAATGTATTCACGCACCTGTACAAGGGCTGCGATGGCGCTCAGTGGGCCGGTGCTGGTGATGTCCTGGTGCTGAGGGTTCAGCAAGACGGTGGAGTTGCAGGGACCCTGACCTCCCTCCATCTCCATCTCCATCAGACAGTACTTGTTCCTGGCACTGTACTCCACCAGGTTGATCAGCAGGCCCAGACCCTGAACACAACACACACACAATTAATTTTTGGAATAAACACTAAAAGTATGTGTGTGTATGTGTGAGAGATACTCACCAGCACTCGGATGTCGAACCTCTGCTCTTGTGGAAGATACTGAGGAACTTTGAGAACACAGTTCAGAGCCGTCACTATTAAATCCTCCTGTTCTCCTGTCTTCGTACTGCCCCACTCTGAGCACACACAGACAAAAGTACATACAGTAATCAAGCACAGATCAGCCAATAATCCGCTTGGATTAATGAACATTTTAGTTTCCAGTAAAACTAAATCTGTGTGTGTGTGTGTGTGTGTGCGCACTAACCGTTGTCGTGTGTCAGGTTGAGCAGGACTCCTATAATGGCCCTCATACAGTCCTCTACTGCTTTCCCCACCACCGCTCCGTCCAAGTTCAGCTCCCTGCTGTAACGCTGGATCATCTCCTCACACCTCCTCAACGCCCTGACAGACACAGAGAGAACAAACATGTTTCCAGTGTTCAAAGAGATGCAACATGGAAAAGAAGACTGAGGATCCAAAGACCTTTTTTTGGTCGACCTTCATCATATTTCTTCATCATATATACACACACCTTTACAGGTTTATGAGCCGAAACGTTGTAAATACATAAACCAACACTAAGCCAGGCAGTGTGCAGAAGTTCGATTCTTCGTGGCTTTTCCTGTGGACACTTTGTCTTATCAGAATAAAAGTAATAATAATCTTATAGTGTCTCGTTTCTCACTAACACAAACAAACTGGATTCTCATGCAGATGTCATCTGGATCCATCTCTACTCGACTCTCATCTTTCCTCATGAAACAGAGCAGCATTCAGGGGAACGCACACACACGCCGGCTGCAGCAGCAGGAGGGGTGAAGCAGGTCAGCCGCCTGATGCAAATAACTTGATTACATCTAATGACAGCGCTGACCGAACTGAGAGCAGAAACCAGAGTCTGAACACCAGGACGGAGTCAGAGGAAGGAAATAAAGGAAGAAAAAAAGAAAAGGGAGAGAGAAAAGAGGGGCGTCGCGTTGGTATTAAATTAAATGTGGCCTACGGAGGGCAACAGTCAGACAGGATGTGACAAAGTGAGAGTTAAAGGAGGACGGATGAGAAAAATACAGGTTGTTAATGAAGCAACAATATTTTCTTCATGTTACTATGCAGCTACGGTAGGACTAATGGACAAAACTATGAAAATAAGGCCAGCTGAAGTTGGAAAAAGTTTGGATCCCGCTCAGACGCTGATGAGGATTGTCGCTAAGCAATTGGGCTTTTGTTTGTGTGTGTGGTGGATTATTGAATTAGTCCTGCAGACAGCTGAAACACTCTGAGACAGAGGGGTGAGTTTGGGTTGAAACAATAAGGGAAGCGTGTAGAGTAACAAAGAGAGAAAAGTGAGGTCAGATGAGGAGGAAGAAAAGATAAGAGCAGGGAAGAAGAGTTAAAGACAGAGGAGAAAGACCTGGAGTCGGTGTGTGCGCAGAGTTTAGGTGGCGGTGCTCGCTCGCTCTCTCGCTCACCCTGTGGTTCTGGGGGTTAATCGAGTTACCGCAGCGGACAGCTGAATGCTCAGACTGAGGCCTGTGTCACCCGCTGAAACAGCAGCTCTTTGTCAACCCATTTAGCCTTCATCCTCATCTTCACCCCCCCCCCCCCCCCCCCCCCCCCCCCCCTCACTGCAGACGTTCTGCAGGGAGCGAAAGGTCCGGTCACACAGAGGGTGAAGGAGGAGGAGCGAGAAGGTAAATAAGCCCAAACCACGTCCTTCGAGCGATACCGGATTCTTTAAGCCGATTTAATATTTGAGATATTTAGTTTTTTCAACATACACATTATGTTAGTACAGAATGTACTAAGTGTATAGTTATTCTAATAATTGTTCTAATATTACTGGGGTTGTGACAAGATTAAAATGACAAAAAATGTTTTGGTTAAAAGCCTCAAGACTCAATTTTCTCAAGCAGTGTAAAACAAAACTGTCGTGCAGTGAGCCCCTGCAGCTGTGACTGAGTGGTAACGTAGCTGGTAGACATCTAAAAACTGAGGCCCAACCAGAGCTGCTGATGTTAACGTGGGGAGTAGTTTTGGTTTCCAAACTGAAGGAGAAAATGCCGCAGAGCATTAACGTAATGCACAGCAGAGGGTTGGGCAGGTAGACTTAAATATTATGAATTCTCATTAAATGATGACGTCTCGTAATATTACGACTTTTGTCTGGACTTGTCAGAGTAGGGCTGGACAATAAAACAATAATAATTATCGCAATATAATTTTTTTCAATAACAATATAACAATAGTTCAATAAATGTTTGATTTTATTCACTAGCATCATACACAAATTAGAACTTTTTTTTATTAAGCTGTTTATTTTGTTGAGGAAAAAGGATAGAAAAAAGCTTTTACCATATTTTACTCGATTAGATTTTATCATCATTGTTTTGAATGTTTGGTTTCTTTAACTTTCACCCAGGAGCAAAAATCAGCCTTTAAAACGATTTGATACTTAGCGTGATAATTATCTTTATCGAAAGATATGAAACTTTTTATCGCAATCACATTTCTGGCCGTATCGTCCAGCCCTATGTCAGAGAACAGAACAGAACAGATTCTGAACGTGCAGAAAGTTTTGAACATGAGCAGAAAAGCTGCTGAAACACAGGAGCTGTTAAAGTCCAGGAGTTTCTAAGTTAATTAAAATGAATTAATTTCTTATTGGAGGTGAAAAGTAGCCACAGTCACATTTAAAGAGGTTACTTCTCCAAATAAAGACACAAGGAGGAGGGAAGACTAAACCATGACTCAGCAGGGAGGGATTCAGAAAAGTTGCCATATTGCATTATATTCCGTTATATTGGTAGATTTTTGAATTGTCACCCGCTGCCTGAATTTTGTTTCCCTTTATATAGATAAAAATATTTCCACCATAAATTGGCGCAGGAAAAAAAATTAAAAAAATCCACCAGAATGCAGGAAACTGCATAACTGTTTAAAGCTCAAAAAGTTTCATTTAATTCAGCCTGGAAGATTTCTAAAAATTATTGTTAAAATCTCGTCTCAATCTTGTGAACCCAAATCTCGTGTCTCGTCTTGTGTAGCAGAATAAGGAAAAAGACAGCTTTGTGGAAAGTCACAGAAATGTCTTATGTATGTAGCAGGTCAAGAATTAACGACTATTTCTAAAAACAAAATGAATAAATAAAAAATAAAGCTGACTACCAGATACGATTCATACACAAAAACACTAATATGTGCCTGAAACACTCGAGGGCAAAGACGCAAAAAAAGAGTGAGTGCAAGGTCAAGTTTCCACAGTGGACTCCTCTCTCTCTCTGCTGATGCTCTCCCAGTGGTGGGGGCCGAGGTCAGAGGCGTAAGGTCGCTGCTATGATTGACAGGATGTCACGACCAGGAAATTGAACAACAAAACCCTGATAATGAAATGCATAATAACCATCAGGCAAACAGAGTCAGGCTGACGCACACACACAAATTTATACAGACAGTCTATACTGTAGAGACGTACAGCTGAGTCAGTCTGGCTTTCTGAAGGCGGATGTTAATATTTTTACATTTTAATCTGCTGTCAGTGTTCAGCATTGTTTTATTGGCAAATTTTCATAATAAATAATTCAAGGTATTCAGTGTGTGTGTCCCCTAGAATAAAAAAAACTCATTGTGGGACACTAAACTTGTCCAGTGAAAAGACAAGATGCATAACAAGATGATGATAATGAAGATCAGATGCAATTTGTTCACCTTTGAAAAAAAAAAAAACATTACCGGTGGTGTCGTGTTGATCAGATCTGTCAATTTAAAATTAATCACACTAAATCCTATCAGAGCGCGTCTGGACACTTGTTCATGTTCAACAGAGTCAGACAGACTCAGGCAGGGCGGATAGACGTTAATGACACCTCTGAGGTCAGAGGTCAAAGACCGAGTGTGTATGTGTGTGCGCTCACTTTGCAGAGGAGATGATAAGTGATGAGTCTTTGTAGGCGATCAAGTAGCCCTGGTTCTCTGGGTTGTGGACAGTCACCTGTATGTACACAAACAAAGATTACTACTTTCCCCCTGAACAATAAACACTAGAGATGCACCGATTGGCATCTTGGCTGATTCCCATTCAGACACACACGTACAGAACTGACGTGTGACACAACGATCGGCCCCGGTTACAGACGATTAAGCTGAAAACCGGCCGACTCCTTTATATTTCATTTTAGGAAATAGGTGACAACTTTTTTTGTATCACGCGGGTTGATGCAGAAGATCTGGAGTGGTTTGTGTCATTTGTGGCAGTGGATCCATCTGTGGCCCAAAACCTTATACCTGCCCTGAACACAAACATGTGACCGATCCAGCTAAACCCAAATCTGAGATGAACCTCTTCATTTGAATATAAAAAATGACCAAAAAATAGGGCAATCAGTACCTAACTGGACTTCAACAGTTTCACACTCATAACTGTAATTCCTTCTGTGTGAAGATGTTTGGCTTCTGGGTCAGAGGACACAAGAGATTATAACAGTATCAGGACCAACAAATGTTGTCGTGTCCCCCAGCAAAGGTAGAACGATAGAGTTCAACTAAACCTCGATAGTGTGAACAGTGTTTTGCCGAAGTATTTTACTTTATACAAGTGGTTTTTGTTGTCAAATAAAAAAAGTGAAACAATTTGTTCTTGTTCCTCTTTCAGTAATACAGACTTGTAAAGATATAGTTGATCCTGACAGTACTGGACCTAAATGCTACTCCCATGTCCGGGTCTGTTTGTTAGTTATCCGTTTTCCCAAACTTCCCCTCAATCTGTGTTGCACTTTCAATTCAATTCAAATTAGCTTTATTGGCATGAATGTAATAACAACATTGCCAAAGCGTCATATATACACAACATAACAATCAGCCCCATACATTTCATTAAACAATTAAAGCGTAAAGTAATCAAAGTGTATGTGTGTTAAAAAAATAAAATAAATATATATATATATAAAAAATAAAATAAATAAAACAGTATGCATGTGTGTTAAATAAAAAAAAATTATATATATAAAAAATTAAAATAAATAAATAAAACGGTAAGTGTGTGTGTGCGCGCATAAAAAAAATAAATATAAAAACATAAATAAATGAGAAATAAATAAAAAAATGTTTTTAATTAATTGATTAAAAAAATAATAAAAAGAAATCAGTATCAAATGTAAAAACAAAACAATTACACTTACACTCTCTAACACCCGTAAACACCTCTCAGCTCCCCACAGAGACGACACCAGCTTCTCCTTATCGTCTTCCTGGTTTAAGTTATTAACACACTCCTTCACTGTGGAGGGGAAACAAACAGAGGGACACAGAATCAGAAACCAGATTCATCATCATCATCTTTTTCTGTTGTTTTGAGTCAATACAAATTCTTTATAATATCTTTCACCTTTATCTACTATGTGGTCCAGTCCTCCCAGTAGCCGTAGTTCCTCTTTGAACCAGTCTCCCGCTCGCTTTGAAGTCAGAGACAGTAACGTCTCCATGGCTAAATGACCCGTCTGCAGGGAGAGAGGAGGGACAAAAAAACAAAGAAATCAATCAGCTTAAATCTGCACTGAAGACTCAGTGTAACAGGTTACAACTCCAGTTATTTTGTGATAATACTGCTGCAGTGCATTCTGGGATGTTTTCACAGATGGATTTTATAGCAATAGCAGCTCTATAAAGACAGTTTCCTTCTTTGATTGTAAGAGACCAACACCAAAACCTGATATTTAACAAGGGGTGTAACGATACACCCGGTAGGAATTTTACATTACGGAGTGACAGTAAACGCACCACTGCAGATGTCACTCACTAACGTTACTTTCGGTTTCGATCTGAAACGTGTTTGCCGTGAGAGACCAGAGGTGCAGGCTAGGTGTGTGTGGGGGGAAAGAGAAGAGGAGCAGCTTCAAGTAGTAAATAAACACTAAAATAATGACCTACAATAACCTACTTTTAATACAAATACGATCTACACAGCGACCGAGCCCCCCCCCCCACAGGCCGCCGCTGCCGCCACAGTTGCACCTCATTCATGTCTTAATGAGAGCTCAACAGTCCAGGGAGCGGGTGTGTCACAGTTCTGCCTCTTGAATCTTCAGTCTCAGAACCGTTCCAGCCCTACTATTTACTGTAGATGTTTTAGATCACAAAATACATTCAGCGCCGAGCTGCTAGGAATATCTTGACACATGTGGGTATGTGTGAGTCACCCTGACTGAAGAGCTGCTGAAAGAAGATCATTACTCAGAGGGTTCAGAGGAGAGGTGCAACGGTCTAAATGCCTTTTCAAGGTTTTTCCACCTCGACAGTTCTGCAGAAAACACTGAGCACATGGAATTAAAATGATGCAGCGTGATGGAAACCAGCCGTTTTAAGTAAAGTAGGATCCTTCTTCAGTACCGTTATGTTCTGTAGGTCCAGGTGCTTGTTGTGTACGGTGTCGCAGAGCTTCCTGATCTTCTCCTTCATCTTGGCAATTTCCCTGGCACTGAACTGAGTGCTGGAGTCGGTCCCAGCTCCTCCCCCATGGTCCTGGTCCTGGTCCAACTCCAGCAGCCGGATCATCAGGTCCAGACATGATCGGTCCAGATCCATGTTCAACCGGTCTCTACTGAGGATGTACATCAGAGATGCCGTGCACATAGCCAGATTCTGTAGAAAGGAGAGTCAAACCAAATTCAGTTCTCAGAGATTTCACTGTGTATATTCCAGAAATGTCTTGTGGCTATGTTATTATGCAGATAATGCTGAATTTCTCCTGCTTTGTAACCTTCAAGGATAGAATTTCTAACACTGTGTCTCATGGCAGACATCCACTCAAGCTGATTTAAATTACAGCAATTACAGTTACAATTTTCCATCTCTGTATTTTCACGTTGTTCAGCCATCAGAACAGATGGCTTTTCAGTCTCAGTCTCTGTTTAAATTGTTTTTCTGAATTCAAAAGGAGAAAACAAACAACCATCATGACCCCCATGCTGTACCATAAAACACAGACGCACTATAAATTCCTTCTAACTCCTGTCATCACCGGTCGGGATGCATCGAATGTTCGCCCACCGAAATTAATTGGCTGAAAATAGCAAATAAAGCACTTTCGGTGTCAGTCAAAAGACTGAATACATTTCACCGAGCAATCACGTTGACATGTTGCCAGTGTGGAAGCATTTTAAAGTGTCTGAGAAAGATGCAAAGATCGCCGTTTGCAGGCACTGTTCTGCTGAATTGTCTCCCAGCACATCCACACCATCTGTGGCTGACTTCTTAGAAAAGGCAACAAACGGTCTGACCGGTCTGAGTGTTTCTGTCACTCGTTTCTGAGAAGGCGATTAAGCTAGTCTCTCCAAATCCTGTGGGAAACACTGAGTAAAAAGCACATTCGGCAATTATTTTCATTATATTCGGTCTATTTTAACGACACGACGCAACAACAGACCTAGCAGGTTCAGCAGCTTTAAAAATGGGACAGCGTTCAGTAAAGTAGGACTAGCTAAATGAACAGTCGAGGTTTGTTGAGTGAACTGGTTCATCTGTACTGATCCTTACCGGGTGTTGCGGAGCGTCATTGAGTGTTTTAAAGACCTGAGCCACCTTCCCTCTGGCCCGGAGGTGCATCCTGAAGCTGGGCATGGCACAGCGTGTAGCCAGGCTGATCACACTGGAGACACAGACACAAATGGCATCAGCATATGGTGCAAAGAATTGCTAGATATTTATATGTTTATGCACAGCAGCAGTGCATGGGGAGGGTGCGCTTCATTCCCTCCATGGGGCGCGCCAGCGGGTTCTTACCTAAGGCAGCGTGTGTTGAGAGGTTGTCCACTCTTCAGACCAGTAGCCAGATACTCAAAGTCATCAGTAAACTCCTGGTTCTCTCCAAACTCCACCACGTCATTGAAGTGCTTCACATGCTGGACGACCGTATACAGCTGGAAAACACGGGGGCGAGGATAAATTAGCAATTGTTTTCTTATTATATTGACTTTAACTAGTAGAGTGTGACAGGGAATGGAGGAGAAGGGATGACATGTAACTACAGACAGATCGTTTTGAAGCCTCGAGTTTGGAGCTGGGGAGGGATATACATTGCTACGCTTGTCAGGTCAGATCACCGTGGTAGCGACTTGTCAATCACAAGGTAGCCCCGCCCTAAAGCCTCCCCTGCATCCTGGTGTCTGTTCCTCTAAATGGGACCATAACTTACTAAATGAACATCATGCTGTGTTGAAGAAGACTTAAAACTAGCGACTGAGACCATAAACTCATCAGGAAAGTGTTTACTGAGGGAATAAATCAGCTGAGAAGTAGCCTCATTTTGTCCCAGACTTCTGTAAAATAACTTCCTTTTTCAACCAGTGGAGTCGCCCCCTGCTGGCAGGTTTAAGATTAGGGATGTTTACACAGTAATGAATAAAAGAACAATTAAACACTGCACGCAAGGCTAAATTTAAGACCTCGCCCACCAGGACTGGGACATCAAAAGACAGACAGGCGCCACATGCCTCTAAGTGTTTAGACAATGGCAGCAGTTGAAAAGAAAAAAAAAAACATTTTAAGAAGACATTTTAGTTACTATATATTCCTGCATATGCATTTATATATAGTGGATTCATTCAGGTTTAGGATATAAGAAAAATGTCCATGTACCTCCTTGTGCTCTTTGCGGCATTTGAGTGCGGTGACAGTGTCCTGGTAGAGATCTGTAGGGAGGGTGACACACTTTGTGACCTTGGGAGGAGGGGGAGGAGCCTTAAAAACACCTTCATCCTTCTGAGCATCAGAGGGCTCCTTACTGGATCCTCCCGCTGAGACTGGCACCTGGTATGATGGAGGAGATGTCATGTGAAATGGGGAAACAACACCTGGATCCTAAATTATTTTTGTGCAACCGACCAAACTTGTCCGTAACAAAAGGGTTCTGAAAACTGTATTATCAAATAATTTTTATCATGATGGATTTGAAGCTGTGACTGTGAAAAGGACGTGGTGATTTTTACTTTTGTAGCCATCATTAAATTACTTTAGGCTGAGCCTTATCGTGTGTGCGGGCGTGTACACTTACAGGAGCTGTCTGTGATCGTGAGAAGTAAGATGGTGGGGGCTCCTCTTCACTCTCCAACGTCCAGTGTCTGGCGTTGTACACAGCTTTGGTAGGAGACTGTAACATGAACACACAGAAAAGCCAGATACATCATCACCGACACTGGAAGCGCAAATATACCCTGAACAAAATTATAATCCCAACACTTTTGTTTTTGCCCCCATTCATCATGAGCTGAACTCAAAGATCTAAGACTTTCTCTATGTACACAAAAGGCTTATTTCTTGCAAATATTGTTCACAAATCTGTCAGAATCTGTGTTTGTAATAATCCATCCACCTCACAGGTGGGTGTGCCTTAGGCTGGCCACAATAAAAGGCCACTCCAAAATGTGCAGTTCCATCACACAGCACAACGCCACAGATGTCGCAAGATGACGCATTGGTAGGTCATTAAATAGTTTATGAAAAGTCGATTTTGGCTCTCTGCTTTGAGTTCTCTGCCATCTAGGCCGTTACACTAATGAGCCATTCTCTTCTAATCACTTTTTACATACTACTGTGAAGCATACTTGATTCAGTTTTATTCAGACGTGTATTTTATTCCACTGCAGCTTCTTAATCTTTAACATTTTTACTATTTAATCTGAAGTCAAATACACTTGTTCCCCAGTGAATGAGAAGTCTTCAATGTACAATCAATATAGAATTTAGATCAATTATGAAATGATCTCCCGCAAAGTTAAATAAAACTTGAATATATAATGTTACATAATGGTAAGATTATTACATTTTCAGACTCTTTCAAACTAAAAAAATCAAATGATATTTAGTTAATCAACTATAACATTGAATAGAAGACTAAGGAAATTATTTACATTTGAGATGTTGAAGCTGTTTGATTGCACTCTCTTGTGTGGTCCCCACATAAAGGTTCAAAACTAAAAACTAACTCTTGATGAACTTGGCTAGAATGGGGAACAAAGGGAACAAAGAAAAAACAAAAAACAACAGACGGCGTTGCAGATAAAAACAGAATTGCAGAGGAAAAAAAGGAGATGAAACACAGGAGTGAAGGAGAAAGAGAGAGGGGTGGAAAGTGAAAACAGGATAACTGGATGTGGATTCAACTGGTGAGAGTCGGCCAGCACTGATCAAACAGCAGGATGCACACGCACACACCCCCACGCCACCTTCTACCCTCATCCTGCCATCCTTGGCTCGTCTCCGGCCCTCTTTATATATTTTTGCCAAACCTGTGGTTGGTGGTTGCCGGGGCATTCATAATGAAAAACAAAAGAGGGAAGGGCAGGACAGAGAGAAGAGAGAGAATTGGCTGTGGAGCAGAGCACTGAGGGAGGTGAGGGGGGATTTTGCACCACAGGGTTAATATGCAGAGACAAAAGAGGAGTTTGGAAATGAGCTTTGCTTTGCTGGAACACCAACACACCGAATTAAAGCCTCCTATAGTAATCTGAATGACACAGACGGACACCTACCCCACCCGCCCCGCCCACCTGCCGCTAAGCAGCATGGGAGGGATGAGAGTGAAGGAGGAAGATGGGCGAGCGCAGCCGTGTTCCTGCTATGGCCAAAAAATAAATAAATAAAAGACATACACAACACAACTGCCTTCTCTGTGTGTCGACGACACGCTTGGGCATGGGTAGTGAAATGAGTTTAATCTATAATTCAGTAATGTCTTCGGCGGCTATGGTCGAGTTTTCTAAACTCTCTGAAGATGCTACAATGGTCTTTATAACAGAAAGCCTGCATTACAAACTGGGGGTGCAACGGCAACTGGACTTTGAGTATCTTTACCCAAGTCCAGTTGATTTTAACCTCCCTTGGAAAACCATGACCTGGACGACTGAGAACATTCACAGACATCTTGCTAAGCATTTTGGTGGTTGTGGAGTTTGGTGGGCATTGTGCAAAAAAGAGAGGAAAACATATCGGCCCATAAAAGTGATACAGACTGGATTTTGTGTAATCATTAACATGAGATCTTGAATAGGCCAATATTTGTTCGGTCATTATTGGGTAAGTCAACACAACTGTAAAATTGCCCGTCTGGTGGGATCCAGACAGGTGCAAATTTCCCCTGGTTGTGCTGAAATGGATCACAAAACACACGGTCTGGATCGATCTGTGGTTTTGAGCAGATCATTGTCAGATCGGCGAAAGAGTTGGGGTTAAATTAATTTGAAAATGCACCACTTTGGCTCTGATGTAGCTGTGTCGGAGGGAAGGCAGCAGATATTACTGAAGCGGGAATAAAGATCACAATCATATCCTCTTTTTTTTTGTGTCCAAGTTACACCACTGAAAATGCCCGACGCCTCAGCCTGCAGGGTTTCACTCAGTGGAGGCGAAAGCAACGGGTTTAAAAAATAAAATAAAATCAGTCCTCCGCCACTAAACCAATCACTGTTCAACAGAGCATGCGCCTGTCTTTAGGTATTTATTCATTTAAAAAGTAACAGCGGCATACTGTGATGGCTAAACTTTGTAATCAATCCGTGGTTCACATGCACCACTTGTTGTCAGAGATAACACGGGTTATATCAAACCTCCTTAACATCCAAAAACACAGAGCAACACGCAGCGCACTGAAAACGTTCAAATTCCAAAAGCTGGCAGTGAATTGAAAAGTTAAAAGATGCCCGAGTTAGATTTACAAATATGATGGACAGATGAACAATGAACAGAACGTTCTAAAAAAAAAAAAAAAAAAAAAACACTAGGTACATCAGTGAAAAGAGCCTCACTGCAGCACCAGAGAGGGTCACACTGTTATGGCTGTAATAACTGCTGGTCCCATAAAAAGACATTCCCCAAATAAACCCGACACCATCTCCTAAATGTGGATGAGTCAGTCTACGAGCTGTCATTATGGAAACATCTAATATCTCCCAGCGTCCTTGGCGTAATAACCTACCAGCACTACGGCTATGCTGATGCCGCCAACACACCGTTTAGTGTAATTGAGACAGAGGTTTGACAACTTCTCCGTAAGCCGGTCACTTCCAAGGGCTTTTCTAATGAGCTCTACTCGGCTCTCACTCTCAATTATGTTAACGGAAGATGGAGTGAGAGAGCCAGAACGTACAGTGTAGAAAGAGAGAGAGAAAGGAAGTAGAATATTAGAACACGGACGGAGGAGGGAAAATATATAGACGAAGTGGTCAAGAGGATGTGATGGAGACAGAGAGGAGAGCAGATTATCAACCAGGCGGGAGGAAAGTTATTGTGAGAGTCAGAGCATGAAACTGGAGAACAAGAGAGAATGAGGGAGTACATTAAGTACATTATTACGCTCCCATGGGCGATGTGTCTGCTAATACTCTTACAGCTGGGCTGCAATGAGCAGACGCAGAGGAAATTAACTTTACATGCCGCACTTCAGAAGTTCCCTGCAGGAGCTGAGAAAGAACTTCTCAACAAAAGTTCTCTCTGCCTCTGCTGAAGCTTCTGACGACGCAACCAGACAGCATGAAACACAGTTCACATACAGTAGTGCTAAATAAGACTAAATCTTATCTATACTGTTGTTCTGGTTTAGTAGTTAGTGCATTTTTAAAACACCTTTCCGTGTGACTTCTAGGTTGGATATACTGACTTTCCGCTGATGAAAGGAGCGCGCACTCGTCTGTGAGAAGGCGATTAAGCTAGCCGCAACAAAATTTGGAGTGAAGCCTTTCCGGTAAATGAAGCGGTCCAGAGCGAGCTGACAGGCAGGTTAGAGACTTTATCCTGTCAGTTTGTCTCTTTAGTATGAAGAGAGGCTGTGAAGTCTTCATGTTACGCCGTACAAGAACCACATACAACATTATTTATCAAACTGGGTCGGATCGGATGGATTTAGCGCGAGGAGGAAACATGTGACAACATCCAGTTTTCAAAATAAGGCGTCTGTACAGGATGGAAATAAGATTAAGTGGATTCGCAGAAAGTATAAAACATATTACATGTGTCCATTAAAAGGAAATGGACACATGTAATTTACTAAGCTCACACTATTTTTTTTGGTTGCTACACAACTTATTATCTACAATTATAGGAAGTAACTAGAAGCTGCATGTCACTGGTGTTGTGCACAAACTGTACATCCTGAGTTTAATTATATTTCAGAGTCTGACAACTGGTTTTTAGGAAATTAAAGGATGGTGGTGACTATGGGGGAGCAGAGGTTAGTAAAGCAAACTAGTCCTTTTAAGCTAATGAGGAGATGTTTCTTTTGGATTTAATGTACAAATGAAATGCTTGCTAATTGTACAGAAGGGAATAAATTAAGACACAAAAAGTAAACATGAATAATCTTATCTATAATGATTCTGAGGTCATATTAACATTCTCCCTGCCGTTATAAGGCTTAGGATGCGTGACCCAAAACAGCTTGGGTGCTGTGCCATGAATGTAAAATAAAAAAACTAACTAAATTACTTTTCCTCCCCAGTGGACTTCTTTATCAAGTTTAGTCGTTGAGCTTTTTGGGGGTTGTTTATTTTTTAGCAGCTCTAGCTTTCCAACTACTTGTTCACAGATATGGTAATAAAGGCTCAAATGATGCAGCAGCAGTGCTGCTGTGCCCATGCACACGCACACAACAGCACTGCTGCGAGAAGCTGAATTTCAGAGACATGTATTAGTGTGTATTTCACTTCACCTCGACTGCTACAACTCCATCCTAGAGGAAACACTGATTCTTATTATTACATTTCCTCTTGAAGCCTGAACGATTCTCCAACAGTTTCTACACTGAGCATTATTTTGTCCTGTATCGTGTTTATCGAGCGTACCCACACGACTGACACGGCATCTTTTTTTCTGCACCAGGTCTTCTTCATCTGCACCTGCAACTCAGCTTGAATCTCTTTATGCAAAAATGATGACTCGACTTCCTCCGTTAGGAACGAACCCACACAAAGGACACATGCACCTGTTGACAGATGGTGACTCGGGGGGTTTACTTACTTTTGGTGAATTAAAGATGTGTGCTACAAATGACAGCCTGTTTGAAAGAATTCAAAATATACCAACACACTAATTATAGGTTAGAGATTCATATTGTAAGTTTGATAATATTTTTGGCTGATACAAGCCCTACATTTGGTGGTTACTTGATGTTATGAAAACCCTCTAAACCAAAGAGTAAGAAAAATATAATATGCATATGTAATACAGACGCCAAAGGCAGTGACTCGTGTCTAAATTACTAGCTAATCTTGTTTTCCATCGATGAAACTAATTTAAATTAAGAAATGAATCTTGCTAATTACAACAATCATGCATAACGTTTCCCTAACAAAGTTAATAAATGCTGCAAACTAAAAAGAACACATTTAACAAGCAGCTGTGATGAAGGGAAGCCTCGCAGAGGAAACTACAAAAAAACTGCACTGAGATCTAATTAACAACCCTCCCCAAGCATAGCAAGAGTCAAATCACATTATCAGTTCAATACAAGTTTTTCACCTGATGTAAAGCTTTAATTGCAGCGAGATTCATGCAAGAACTGAAATGCAGCCTCAAGAAGGAAACGCAGGCAATTCATAAATGGTAAATATGAGTGACGTAGGACTTGCATTTCTGGATTGGATTCTGGTCTGGATTGATGACATTGGTCAGGCCCCTACAATAAAAAGGCTCCTATGAAATCAACAGTCTGATATCCAGTCAGCCCAGTCTGAGAGCCGGGAGTGACGGACCATTAGCACGCTGGCAAATAAAAGAGAAGCAGTTCAGAGATGTTCAAAGACGACTCAGTCTCTGCCATGAAAAACCAGAGCCGACTGCTCTGCCCACACACACACACAAACACACTCAGTGCTGAGTCACACTGGGCGTAGGTGGACTGGTCCCCACAGGTACATGCAAATCTCTTCCTGAAATGTAACGAGGGAGGGTTTAACACCGTTGAAATATTTCACATACACAGTATTGTGACCTAGATGTGCTTCTATACCATTTCCTGTTTGTTTGAACTGTATAAAAGTCACAAGTGAAATGCAGCTGATTCTGAGACTCATGATGCTTCAGTTAGATGCGAATCCCAAGACCCACTTCTTAAATCCAGTTTAGCTGTAGCACTTTGTTCATTTCCATCCACTAAATAAACTAAACCCAGAGGATTTTACTGCATGTTTCTTAAACTGGAGGAAACAGTACCTTTGTCTAGGCGCACTTTCAGTTGTGGATTTATTAGGTGCTTTGGTGAGTATTTTTGAGCAACTTTTCATGGGATTCATCAATAATAAGAAAAATATTAAACACATTGAGTCTTATCCTTCATTTTAATGATAACATTTGACAATATTCAGCTGAGTAAGGATAATCTAACAAGTGGTATTTCATAGCAGTGTTAAAAACAATCCCAGGCTCAGAGGGTGCGGCGTGAAATACCAGTCATGCATGCAGTGTGAACCTTCATGTGACGGCAGTGATGTGGGGAAACATGTTAGTGTCTGACCTTCTTGTGTGCGCTGAAGATCCTCCGGAAGGAATCTGGGTTCTTCTCGGCCAGTTTGCCCTGAGGCGGCCTGGGAGCCCTGGCCACTACTCTGAGGCCCTCCTCTGAGAAGTCCAGGACGTCTGCAGACAAAACATACAGTCGCCATCACTAAAACTTCACAGTCAGTCAAGATTACTGGTCCCATTTCTCTAAACAAAATTAGAAGAACAGTTCTATGTGTGCACAATTAGGGCAACTAAAAACTAAAGATTAGCTGGTGATTAGATCCTTAATGTAGATAATATCATTGTTATTTTGAAATGGAAATAATGATAATAAGTAACAGACATTCAGTCCAGATATATTTTGACTTTGTTCAGCTGACAGACAATCTTTTACCGGCTGACTGGCTGCTGAGGTTGAGCTCAGATAAGACAAAGGATGAGACATGGTTTGTAATGTTTGTACAGCATTATGCCCTGTGTGTGTGGGAGGACGGGTTCATGGTGTATGCTGGTAAAAACAAAGTACAGCATGTTATTGATGGTGTGGGTGCGCTGTGTTTCTGTCAACATTAAAGCACCTAATGACCTTCAGCGTTCTCTAGAAGTGCAGCATAGTTAGACTAGTAGCCCTGTTACACAAACAAAACCTGTTCAAAAGTTACATTATCCAGCAAAGCACAAAGATTTTCCATTGTAAGGGAGTGGGTTTGTTTTAACCTGCTCGTATCCTGCTTTCCTGCCTCTGAGAGTTTTTCTTGTTCTCCTTGGCGGTCGGTCTTGTTTGGCTCATCGGACTCTCCAGCCTCTCGAAGGGATCCGGCGGTTCGGCGGTCGGCGTGTCTTCCACGGTAACCAGCGGGGTTGCCTTGTTGACGGCAGTCTTCTTGGCCCTCCTCTCTTTAGAGCCGCCGTCGTCGTCGTCATCGTCGTCTTCTTCTGCGCTGTCGCTCATGTCATCGAAGCCGAAATATTTGATCTTGTAATTGGATTGGCCGTCGGTGTTGTCTCCGCCGTCCTCTTGATGGGCGTCTGCATCGTCGAAACCGAACAGTTCCAGCTTACTGTCCTTCTTTGACTTGGTCTGGCTCACCCTGAGGCGAGGACAAGCACACATTAGGAAAAACATGGTTTTATATCCTGCAGTCATGGCAGTGAACCTGATTTATGAATTTCAAAACTTAGAATACATTTTTATAAATGATGCACTGTGGTGGCATCCTGCTGTGAGCCTTTACACTTGTAAAGTACATTTCCAAGTTTCCAACTTCAGGCTTCGGTACAATCTGTTTGACCTGCCAAATTTTAATTAACACATTCACAACATTCCTCCGCGTTGAGGAAACTGTTCATGTCAACCCAGGTAAGAAAAGCCAAGTTTCAAAAAATCCAGAGAGATATTCTTACTTTGATGTGCGACTTTGGCAGTTTCCCCCAAATGAAATTGCTGTGCATGTATTGTCCTCAAGCGAACATTCATGGAGATTTGAAAGCTAAAATGAGCCAAAAGGAAACACTGCTTTCACCTGAGAGATGAAAATGTGTAAAAGATGTAAAATGATGTGTGAATGATAAACTGTGCCTGTCTGGGACCTTTATACAAAACCTGTTCAAGCCATTTGCTTTATTAATTTTTCCCTTTAGATCAAGTTTCTCAGTGAAACCACTAAGAATTTATTTGGAGAGAAGTTCTGAAATCAGACAGCAAGGAACCTTAAACGTCCTTTGCCTACTTGAAAAAGCCGGGTGTGATCAATCGGATTCCTTTGCTCAGAGAAAGATGTAATGATGTTTGGTAAAGGAGAAATATTCTGGATGTTTTGTGCATCATTTATTTAATGTTTTTGGAAACTCCAGTAGAAGTGGGAGAAGTTCTGTGCCTTTATGAACCTACTATACAAAAAGAAAAAACCACAGTTCAAATTTAAATTATTATAAAAAGGCCTAAAAGACCGATTAAAGGTCCGGTCACAGATTTGTGGAGTCGTGTGTGAATCACTTTCACTCAACAAAAAACTAAAATTTATGTTATCTGAACCATTAACGGTTAGTAGCTGTACTGGAGCTTTCAATCATAATCGTCAGTACAGATTCAGAATAGTTTATGTACAGGTCTTATGACAACAAAAGTGGCGTTTATTTGAACCTCAACCTTCATCAGCTATAGGCTATTGATAAAGCTGATGAGGTCGCATAGCAGGACTTTTGTTTGATTGATGTTGCCCTCCGATGGACGTGTCTCACATCCAGAAGTTCGGATACTTTTATTTGTTATTTGACAATATTAAAACGAAAAAATTAATTCCCCAAAGCCTTTCAGGCCACCTTGTGTTGATCTACCTTGTGATCGGTTGCTCCGTCTTCTTCCGCTGCCACCCCGCATCTCCCAGCTCAGTCGTACTGCCAGACCCAGCACTACTGCTGCCACTAGAAGGAGCTGCATCAGTACTAAACTCCTCCACTCCTCGGTCCTGGATGGTGACGTTACACATCGACACGGAAGAGGGGTGCAGCACCGTGTAGTCCCTCGTCCTGCCCCGCCCCCTCCCACCACTTGTCTTATTACTGCCGTCAGATGTAGATTTGGGAAGATCTGCGCCAAAAACAGCGTTGGCAGAGCCGCTGGAGTCCGAGGATTTGCCAGAGCCCTGTTTGTTAGGCCTCCTGTAAGTCCGACAGTTAGAGTTTCTTATAAGCGACGAGGAGGAGGATGTCTGGGAGTAGCCGGACGTCTCGACAAGGAAGTCCGAGTCACCCCCGAGGTCCTCGCTGTCGCTGGGGCTTTGGAGCTGTGGAGGAGAGGGGGGCTTCTCATGCCGGACTCGCCCTAGGTCATAGCTGTCCACAGTGACGCCCACTGTAGCCCAAGACAGTGTGGGGGCGGGGTTGCGGGGTTCTTGGCTGGGCGAGGGCGGACGAAGACCCATGATGGTATCCCAAGAGTCGTAAGTGGACTTCAGGGTGGTGGTCTGCGCCAGAGGCTGCTTATCGCTCTCAGAGGCGTTTTGATACCACGAGTAACTGTGCCGGTTCTCTGCCAACAAGGAACTCTGCTGGGGCTTGGCTGTGGAAAAAGCAAACCAGATTCAGAATCAGTACTTTCAAATATCCAAACTGGCATCAAGGTTTAAGTAAAACTTTTAAAACCTCAGTTCTAGTTCATTAGCAGGTCGGTACCAAATGTCTCCCATGAGACAACATACTCAATTAGAACAAAGTTATTCTTTAAGTCTTTCCTAATTAAAATCAACTTTAATTAATTTAACTCTTCAGTTTTGTCAAACATGAATACACGTAGGCAGCAGGCATCTCCCAAAAGCTGAACAGCCTGTTGCAGATATTCGCTGTGACACTCACTCGTAGTGCAAAAGTTGGGCCCTGTAGCCTAGATAACAATGTCACTACTACTACTAGAGCAAAATCTTTTTTTTTTTGTTTGTGGTTATATAAATATAACTTATGGTGCTGTTAGATTGCTTTTCGACGCCCCGTTAATACAGGAGCGGGCCCCCTGTAATGTTTGGATAATAAAATTGTGTGAAATGATTACATCTCTATTTTTTTCTGTACATTTTGACTTTTGGACTGAACAAGGCTCTACGGTTATTTGAAATGTTCCTACGCAGCCACCACTGGAATCTAATTCTACTAACTGTAAATGCTGTGCAGCATTCGAATGTCGACATTATGACTCTTGGAAACTGCTAATAACTTACATGATGCCTACCCATTTGCCTTCCTAAAATGGACCACAATGGAAATAAGCCGTCTGGCTTTATTGTGTTTTTATCCTTGATGGCATCTGTAGCTGGGGCATCTCTTGCTGGAGGCGCCACTTTAACATTTACAAAAAAATCAATCAATGAAACTTCGAAATATTCAGTACAGCCCTATGAATTATTATGCAATAAACGGTTCACATATTAGAGCATCACATCACAGTTCAGTAATTTAGAAAAAACGGCCTAATAACTGGCCTCTGAAACGACAACAATACGAACTCTAAAAAGGGAATTTTAAGGATTTTAAAAGGGATTTACATACACAGGTTTACAGACTCAGCCATTACCAGACTATATCCAGATTATATTTACAGGTATTTTAAATCCACAAGACAAGCAATTTATTTTAATTATCAATTCATCTGTATATCAACCCAAAGTTGATTAGTTAACAAAGATATAAAAACCAGAGAATGTTGACTGACTAACCAATTAATCAAACTGTTTCAGCGCTAATGTCAACAATCAGTGGCGCTCCAGTACCGTGTTCTCTGAACTTACTGGCATAGTAACTGATCAGAACAAACAGAAGGACAATTTAGTAATTAAAAAGTTAGAGGGGGGAAAAAGGCATTAGGTTAATGTGCACAATTATCATGGGTGCTGGAAAATTTGTTGCAAACTTATTTAATTTTTTCACAGTGTGTTTGCAGAGACTTTAAGGAAGGCATCTTAACTTTTATAGCACAACGACAATTCAAAGCGCTTTACCTCCAGGGAGGCAAACATCTGTCTATAATTTTCTAACCTACAAAGTTTTCCAATCTTTTCACACTTTTTAAACAATCTAAATGTATTTATACTAAAACAGTTGTGAGTTGCAACTTACAGAATACCATCTGGTACAACAATGAAACAACGCCGTGCCCACACTTGAGCTTCTGACTAACCTCACATGTTTCTCTGTAGAAGAATGGTGTTCATAATGATTGCACCATTTCAAAAAGTACCTCTACACACTGAAAACAGGTCTCTCACACACACACACACACCCCCCACCCACACACACACACACACACCCCCACCCACCCACCCCCACCCCCACACCACCAAGCAGCTGGAACTGCGACAGAGCTTCACGTCAAATATTCATTTTGCCAATTGGTTTTATTTCTTCAAGAAAATCAAAAGGGTCTAGACCCACTTGCTATGAGAACATGCACGCTCTGGTTATTAGCAGCCTGTGGCCATTTCTGCCTTCCCCGATAATAAACGGGTGACAATGCCGGACTCGGTACTCTGAGCAAACACAGGAAATTGCTTCACAGTGTAACATCAAAGAATATCTGTATCTGCTCTATAAAAAAAAAAAAGAAAAAGAAAAAAAGAGCTGTGGTTCTTTGGAAGGCTGTGGTTTAGGAGAAAAAGCGTCGCAAGAAGGAGACCCATTTTGTTACTTCACTCTGACGAGCGAAAAATAAAAAACTCACAACTGATAAAACATTTAGAGAATGAGTGAGGGCATTCCCAAAGTATCAGCAACAGTCCTGGTCTTTAAAAGAAAAGAGGATTTGACTTGATTTGCTGAGAAGGTATGAGACCTTTAAGTGCTTTGTGCGCACCTGAGCTTTTACAAAATTAGCTGTTAGAAATTTTGCAAGGATGGCGAAGCCCAACTATGAACCTCTAGGTGAAAGAGGCTTTTGGAGTTTCCCCATTATCCCGGTTGTATTTGCACATAGAGAAATACAGAAACTCTGTATTTTGAGAAACCAATAAGCCGTTTTTTAAAATAATGTGCTACGTTGGCACTATTGCAAAATGTGCCGGTGATTTAGAGGTTAGACTTTCAGTTCTTCTTCAGATTGTTCACATAGCACATATCCAGTTAACATCAAGGCATGTCTGCTGGAAAATTAGCTGCACTGCTCATGACAACTAGAAAAGATTCATCCAAGCGACACAATCATCATTAAATAGCGATTTAAAGCTTTTAGAAAATCCAATCCAACAGTATCATATTCAAATAATTCAATAAACTTAATTCACCCTTCACTTTAAATGGTCAGATAGATAAGAGCCTGGATGGGTTAGGGTTTCACCTTAAGTACCTGTAAAGATGGCATTTTGGGTGCCTGGCTTTGCAAACAGTATGATGTCAGCGTGTGTCAGGAGTGTGAGAGTATAGGGGTAAACACCTACCAAGCACCAACCATTGGTACAGTAATCAGGTTGAGAAATCAGTAACTCCCTCATCAGAGCATCAACATGTTCAAGCTCTGCTAACCACTGTAGTCTGACCCGATAACCACAGTGTGCTTATGCAACGGTGTTTTTCATGATCAGCTACTCGGCCTACTTATTTTAATTTGATTGATTGATTGTTGTTTTGATAAATGACCTGAGCCCAAAGTCTTAACGCTGCCACATGCTTCAACTAAATACTGATCATGCAACAGTCACAAAATGACTGGGTGTAGTGTTTCAAACAGTTAAACCTGTTAAATAGAAACAGTTTTTCAGCAACCTTTATATTTAGCCTAAACAAGGCCTAAGTTGTAAAGCAATTTGTATTTGTTTTACAGCTGAATTTATCTCCATCAAAAACTACAGCAGCCGGGGGTGTTAGCTGCAGCAGCTAGGAGGGAAGGGAGAGCCTGTGGCGGAAAAACCTAAGAAGTGTCCAAGAAAAGTTTCTTATGCGCCAGATAAAAAAGAAACTCTGCGTTCAGAGGAAGAATTACAGTTGGAAGAAAGAAAGCGATGGACGGAGAGGACAAACCATTGGTGCAGCTTTTCCTGAGAGAAGGGAAGGGACCGAGGGCAAACTCGATGTGGTGATCCTGCTCTTGAACAGGTTTGTATGTATAGAATATTTGGAGTTGGCTTTGTTTTGGGTTCACCCCCCTCCTCATACATCGTAAGTTCATGTCAACAGTGTTACTCACTGCCGAGACGGGTGAGAAACGTTCCACACTGCAGGTTTTAATACAGGAGGAGACCATTTAATGACAGATTAAATGGTCTGTTACCTATGTGGGTCAGTCTGTAAGTGCTGTTACTGGAAAGTCAGACAGAAATTGGACAGCCCTCTTCATATCTATCAGGAGAACAACAGTGACGTTCAAAGCATTTCTAAACGAGCAGCAGTATGAGCAGCACCTAAGAAATCTCACTGAGACTGTGAAAAAGCAACTGTTCTCACCCAGTGTGGCTCTGCTCACATGGCTCCCTGTCTCTGCTGGCTTCTGTTTATTTTGCATTTCTCTCTCACTCACAATACTGTGTCATGTTAGTTACAGTGCTTTAAAAGGGAGGACAAGGAGGTGTTTTTTTAAAGCTGGATTACGAGGGGCAAACCATTATTCATTAATGCAGAACACGGTGAACAAAATCAATATGATTAAATCTTCATGGGCAATGTCAACACAGATTCAGACGCATCTAAACAAAACTCACATTGGCCCACAGGCTGCAAGGATTCAATGTACGATGATTTATATGCAAAGTCTGAAAAATAAACTCACTGTTAGGGTTGGGTATCGTTTAATATTTTCCAATACCAGTACCCTTAAAGTGATAAAAAAATACCAATAGAGTACTTCATTCGATACCTTGCATTAAACGCCACCTGTTAAAGCCGTAGTAGTTTATTGGTAGCCTATTATTATTTTTATTGTTGTTATGGACAAGCAAGGTGATCCGTTTTATTTTATTGGTGCAAATAACTGTTACATAAAAAGTATTGGTAAATTGCATCAGATCCTCCTCATCCTGATTGGTCATCCTCCTGGGTAGTATTACACGGGCAAGACTACAGCAGCAATTTTTATTATATTTGAATGAGAGAGGAGGAGTGAAATAGTTTAGTGACCAAATACGTGGGAAACAAGTGATGTGAACAGCAAATTTAAAAAAATGTACAGAGATGTGTTAAATGATACCAGAAGATGAAACCAACGGAAAGCCGAGCTTGCGGTGATAAACTGCATCAGTGACGAACATGTCAGACGCAGCCGAAGGTGAGCGGCTATTAAAATGCTTTTTTTTATATATATATATATATAAAAATACAGTTTATGGTGCAGGCACATCAGGAAAAAAAAAAAAAGGTGCGCTCTTCTCTTTCTTTCGGTGTGTTGCTTGCGTGTGTGGTTGCAAGCAAAACTAAAGTATCGAATGAAGTACTGGTTTGACTGGAGACGTTTTGATTCTACTCGATACTGGGCTGTTTCAGTAGCGACCCTACTCACTGCTCAATAAAAATATTGCTCTTAGTTATCTATGTACATTTTGTGGATTGATGAAAGACTGACAGAGGGGGATATTGTATATCTTTAGCCAGGCTGATTAAATAAAGGTTAAATGAAATTGCTGCTGTCACACCTTTAAAATATGTTATATATAATTATAATATGGACGGCATCAATAGCTTAAATGTGTTATTTCCTGATATTTACAGGTAAGTGACTCAGTAATCTTAAATACAAACACCAATGTGAAAGAAGCCAGCTCTACAATATTGGTGTATTTTAGAGTTATTTGGTCAGGGATTAGGTCATATTTACTGAGTCAACATCGCCAGCCAGAGTAAGCAGATAACACTGCTGTTGGTGGCAGCTGAACTTCGGTGTCGCTCTGGCTTCTCTTCAATATGGCTCAGTGTCCTGACACAGTGGAAACGTCACTCTGAGCCCAAGTGCTCACTGAGGCACAGCTTGATGTTCAGAGTCAGTTGGAGTGATCGCGTCTCTGGCAGGTGGCCAGCAGCGGTCACGGAAATCTGATGGCAAGTCAAGCTGAACGCGACGACACTGACAGCGGACGGCTGTGAGAGGAGGAACAATAAAACTGATTTCTGCGATGATCTTCAGGCCAGAGAAAAAAAAAAAGAAAAAAACAACAGTCCTGGAAACCACAAGCATCTCTTGGTTTTTCTTGAGGCTTAAATAATTGTACACAAAGCAAAACACGGGACATTAGTCCTTCAGACTTGTGGAGTGTGCTGCGACGACTGCCCACTGCTGTAATATCACTCAGTGAAAACTGTAGATGTTTTGAGGCCTTTAGCTTCGAAGGGCCTCAAAAGGGCACCAATGCAAAGTCACACCGGAGGATTTAGTTTTATAGAGGTCACGGAGTTTGTCATCTGAAGGACCAGAATATAGTTTAGCATCTGTGAGCCAACTCATTTCATCGCAAGTTTAACAGGATTTTTGCTTTGTGCTTTGTGTGGTTAACATGAGCCTCAGGGTGCCAGAAAAAACAGCCACGGTATCTGTCCAACAAAGCTAGTTTCCAACCCCTTTTTAAGGAAAATCAGGACTCAGACTGGCTAGATGTGTTTCCATTTTGACTGGGAAAAAAAAGTTAGGAGAGGCTAAACTTTTTTACAACTGACAGAAGCCATTCAGAGTCGACATTTAGTCAACAGATTCAGCGGAACTTTGTACTTCGGCCATTACATCAAAAGCAAAGTGTGGAACATTCAAAGAATCAAATTTCAGCCCATTCAGCGACCACACAGTCGAACAAGAATATTTCATATTGCGGTCTCTAATGCCATAAATAAATAAAAAGTTATTGTTTCCTAAAGGATATCCTGGTTATTATGTGCTTAAAGCAGCAATCGATAGGTTGCTGTTCTAAAACGGACTATTGACTTTGCTTAGTCTTCCACTGTTTTATATAAATTGAGTATCTTTGAGGTTTTTTTTTTTACTGTCCGTATTAAATTATTAGTACTGCTAAGAAATCTGGTAACCTCTTTTGGGCATCTATCACTGTTTTGACATTTTACAGATTAGCAATTAAATTAGAGCTGGGGTGGGCCATTTATTTCAGGCAGTTTTGTTATATTTGTTGAAATACTCTCTACATGCCATCAGCGATCAATATATCAAATGCTCTGACACAAAATCCTGTTTCTTTGGCAGGATTGTAATAAGCAGGGCCAATCAACCAATTGGCAGCCTACCTGGCTGTGCGCTTGCTGGGTATGAAAGTGTGTTTTGGGGGAAGTAGCTTTCGAGTGAAGCTGAACGGAAGGGGGTGAGATTTTTACATTTGGACACTTTCAAAATCTTGCCGCATGTTTGCTAGTTTGTCCAACACCATCTACCCGAGCTTTATTTAATAGATTAAATAAATAAGTCCTGGTCCAGATGTACTACCCAAGCTTAAAGGTTTCAAAGTCTGTGTATTACCTATGCTAGCACTGCTGTTGAAGAACCGAGCTGTGTCCTCCATCACGCTGGGCTGGTTCCTGTCGTTGACCAGCAATGATGCCCCTCGAGCGGACGCCAAAGCGTGGGATCCTCCCTGGAGGCTGGACCTGCTCCCCGTGTCCAGAGAAATGCCCGGCCTTTCAGCTTGGGGAGGCTCTGCTGAGGCTGGCTTGGCGGGTGACGACTTGCTGCCACTGCGAGATGACACCGGCTTGGATTCCTCATCGCTGTCAAATCCAAACGGATCCTCCAAGCCATCTCCGGATGGACGGGGCCTCTTGTACACTTCCAGGACAGAGTCGTTCTTGGGAGCGCCGATGCGCTTGGAGCCCACCTTGGCCTTGTAGGTGGTGTCACCCCATTTGGTACTAAGGGTGCCTCTCTTAGTGGACAGAACCTCGTCAAACTTGGACATGCCCTCTCCTCCCTTGCGGCTGTAGGTTTTACCGAATCTGGATGTCATTGTTGCATCTGGGTCATATTCTCTGAAACAAGAGAAGCAGAAAGAACCGAACACAATTTACACGTTTATAAGAACATCTTGACTCCCAGTCATTTCCCCCTCAAGATCTATATATTGGGTTTTTATTTAAGATTACAAACTGAACAGCATTAGCCAGTGTCAGTCAAGTTCACTGCTTAATTGATGAACTACTTGCAGAATCATGGACTTAATAAACTCCACAGGAGATCAGTGTCCTGCTTCTGTTCGCAAACAAACAACAAATTCGGCTTGTTTTTTTTCTTGATTTCATCTCATTTCATTTATAAGTCAGTTTAATAGAAGAAGCGCAGCTAGGTGTGCGAATTACTAGTCAACAGCTTGCGTTCTTCTCAGCCAGCTGGTTTGTCAAACAAGGCTAACATTAGCTTTCCAGCCGAGCTAATGGCGCTAACTTACTCCTATCAGCACTGGGATGATGCTAGCAGAAGAATTCATGGGAACACAACAAACCCCCCACTGGATTAGACAATCGTTAATTACGAGATGCCTGTTACGTACAAATATAACACGTTTACTCAAGTTACTGTTAACGTTAGCTCGAGTTTTAGCCGTTAGCATTGGCATAAAGATCAACAGAGGACCCGTCACTCCAGTAAACTGCTAGCCTGAAGCTAACGGCTAACAATAACTACAACCTGACATCGTGTCGTGCCGCAACCTACAAATACAAATACAGACCAGATTATATCGGTAAACGAACATTGTCTGTTATCAGTATTTCCACTTACTTGGTGAGCTAAAGGGCAGATCCGCACAAAACACACTCCAGCCCCGCAAACGGCCGTTGAACTCGCACAGGACACCGGGCCTGCTTCCCCTGATCCAAGCTGCTCAGTATAAACAAGGCCCAAGTGACGCCGTTAACGGCAAATTAGCGGGGTTGAAACACAACGTGGAGAACCGCAGACACACACGGCTGAGAAAAGATTCAGTTTATAGCTTGATACAACGATATCGACTCCGATTTTCAAGCTAAATCGCACTCGATTGTTTCCTCCGGCTTGCGACGAAGGCTTCCATTGGACTCCCCCGCTACGTCAAGTTAACCGGAGAGAGCAGAACGTGACCGGATACAGGTAGTCGACCTTTTAAAATAAAAGCACACATTGAACATACGGAGAGAGCATTCTGGCTGAAGCCTAAAGGCCTTAACTAGTATTGACATGTTATATATAAAATGGCATTTGCAAATGTGTGTTTGATACAGACCCCTTCATCTACATATGAGCTAATATATAAAGTCCATACATTGTTTTGCTCTGTTTTGGCAGGTTGTAATGTTTTTGCCTTATTTTGTTTTATAAAATCATGTCCGGATGTGTTTATGATAGTAATTCCAGCTTCACACTGGTGGCTTCATCAATCTTTTCATTACAAATGTCGCGTTCAGGTGCTCCCATTAAACTCGTAAAAAGTTCCATTTCAAATGACTGACAGCAAATGCGGCATAAATGATATGCAGTACGTTAGTCACTTGCCTTCAGTTTATATAAACAAACTTGATTTTAAAGGAAATAAATGTACAAACAAAATTTTAAGGAGCATACTCACTTCTACACTCTCCATTAGAAAGAAAAGAAATTATTAATTGATTTTCCTAAATAGATTGTATTTAGAATTAGTAGAATTGGAGACCTGACTCTCACCGAAAGCTAAAGAAACTCAATAAATTACATTTATCCTTGTAATTGCACATATTCGTTGTTATTATTGTTCAGTATCTTTTATACAAATCCTACCCCCCTGTAATATGTTTGCACAACACAAACCCAGAGTAATGCACATTTAAATATCTGCCACATTGTTGTTTCTCTACAATTAGTTCTATTTTTCTTTTATAACTTGCATCTATATATTTTTACATTTATTTATGTAAATTGTATGTTTGTCTACATGAAGCACCTCAGCAAATTCTTCATAAGTGTAAAATACTACTTGGCAATAAAGCTCTTTCTGATTTTTCATTACTGATAATGAGTTTCTGAGACGAAGATAAAACACTGATAAAAACAATTGTTTGTTCTGTGACTTCGCATATCCATCATATGAAAGGGACAAGCGCCCAAATTAGAATATTAGGATATTAAATTTAGAGTTATAATGCAGGACCAAAAAAGGGAAATGTTGTATAATTGCTTGATTATTATGGCTTAACGAGTTATTGACAGACGTAGATTTACTAACACCCAATTTTTGTTCTTAATCGTCATGAATTGACTAATTTTAAAAAGCATTGCATTGTATACAAACCAAACATGCCTTGGTTATTTTTAAACAAATTAATAAATAAAACCTTTAACTGAGTTACAGTGTAAATTGTGCGTTATTTCTTTGCTGAAAATATAAAACTTTATACACCATAAAATGAACATGATAAAAAAAGAAGGTAGTAGGGAGGGTTGTTGAAAAATCAATGTTCCAACCTTTATCAGGCTTCACATTATCAATAGGCAACAACATCAAACAAGGGAGATCAAACAACAACCAGTCCAAGTATACGGTGCACCTGTACTGTAACAAGGTTAAGGCACAGGCAATACTGACAGGTGTTTCTAATATTTTGTCCATCTCAGTTATATCAAGGAACAAAAACATGTTTTAGCTGGATCTACTTAAAAATTGGGCAATTGAGTTTGAATTCCACTTTGTCTGTGAGAGCTGCTGCTAGTCCATCTTTCCTGTCCATTGTATACACATGTCTCCTGACCAGTTCATTTCAATGGAAACAAGAAGACACAAAGCACTGTGGGGAGATTTTATTCCAGACTTCAGATGTTAGTCTGTGTTTACTGCCGGCCAGGTAGGAACTTTTCAGTGTGAAGTTTGCATGTTCTGCACATGTTCTATGAATGTTGCATGCTAGATTTTCATTTTCAATTTCTCATGTAACCCATTTCTATACATATTACATAGTATGAACAGCCAGGAATCCTGTTTCTAATGTTCTTTCTCATATGTATCCTCACACACGTAATGCATAACTGTTAAATTTAAAGTTAAGAAACTGTAGAAGTGAACATGAAATGATACGCAGTCACTATCTGTCAGGATTCAGATGAGCGCAAACAGGAGAGAGCCCAAACACAAGACACTAGAGAATCAACGTCAAATTCAGGGATTTTAATCCAAACAAAACAAGTAATAAAGCTTAGAGGTTGCCTAGACTAGTAAATCCAAAATGATTGAAACGGTAGTTCCAACAACAGACAGAACATACATCACACTACACAGGACAATGACCGGACAGAGACTGAACAGAAACAGCAAACATTTAACACTAGGGACTAAGGAGCAGGCAGGAGCAACACAGGTGACAGGGATCAGGACTAACGAGACAGGCAGAGGGACAGCAGGGGAAAACTGAGAGTCAGGCATGCAGAGGGATTACTGGGGGAACAGACAGAACACATGTTACAAAATACCAGACAAGGATCTATCCCATACAAACAGAACCCCATGTAAACAGACAAACACCGACCGACTATAACACAGGGATCATAACAGGAACTAAGGCAGGCACAGATCAAAACCAAACTAAACAGGAAACAGACTGAACAGCACTAAAGGCACAGAGTAGACTACAAACTAACAGGGAAAACAGACTGAAACAAGAAACACACACCAGACTGACACAGTCTATCATTGTCTTGTCCTCTAACTGATCTCTGAACTTCCCACGGTTACAGAGACCTTTACCGGCGATATCTTCAGAGGGAATGTATTCCTGGTGCAAAGGTACGGGCACAATTTCTCTGTGAAAGTGTGTGTGAAGGTGTGTAAGTGAGTGTTAGAATCAGGATCAGAAAAGGACAGCTCTCCTTTGTCCCAGTCCAGATGAACTCTGATCCTCTGGAGCTTCTGTCTGACTGGGAGGTCAGTGTATTTATCTGTTGGGGAGTACGCTCTGTATCCAACATCACTGAAGTCTACACTCCACACTGTAGAGCCCACAAATCCCTGCCTACAAATGGACTCTGTTAACACCCCCAGCTCCCAGTCTTTGTTGTCTCCAACCTCAACATCCCAGCTGTGAGTCCCTGAGGTAAATCCTGAGCCCAGGACAGAATCCCAGTACTCAAACCTCTCTGGGTTTTCGGGAAGCTGCTGTCTCTTTCCATGTTTGACACTGGTCAGATCTTCAGACAGAATGAGTTCTGGATTGGCAGTGTTTGGATCCAGAATCACAGGACTGTAAGAGACTACGTCCTTCATCTTATTCCAGATGTTGAAGGTCAGGTTGCCCAGGTGTTTGGCCACGTCTATCAGAGCTCCTGAGGGCAGCTGTGGATCATCGAGTAGGGGGCACTGCTGGACTCTTTTAACTGCAGCCTTGTAGTTCTTCAGGAATGATATGTCGTCAGATTTCAGATCCTTCCCTGTGGCTCTGACTGTGTCCGAAAGAGCTGCTATATTTCTGCTCAGACCTTCAAACTTCTCCTCCATCATCTGTCTCTTCTGCTCCTCTTCCTCCCACAGTGCAGCCATCCTGGCCTCCTCTTCCTCTTGTAGAAACTTGTGAAGCTTCAGAAAAGCTTCCTTAATCTGCCTCTCTGTGTGTCGGGCCTGGACCCTGATGTGTTCTGCTGTTTGATTAAAGTTCACTTTAACTTCCTCAAACACCTTTAACTTGTCCTGGAAGGGTTTCAGGGATTTCTGGAGCTGCTCTCTTTGATCCTGTGCGGCCTCCTCGATGGGCCTGAAGCTGTGGTCAGTGTGTATTTTCGCATCTCGACAGACGACACACACTGGCTGCTGATGGTCCAGACAAAACAGTTTGAGTTTCTCAGAGTGCAGACAACAGAGCGCCACAGACCCCAATGAGGTTCCTTGACCTCTCTGTCGCAAAAACGACTCGCACACATTCTTTAACGCCAAGTTGCGAGGTGGATTACTCCACTGAGATTCTGTTCGACAAACTGGACACTGTAGGATATGTTTCCCTCTCCACCAGCTCTGCAGACAGGCTTTACAGAAGCTGTGGCTACATGACAGGAGGACAGGATCTTTAAAGATGTCATGGCAGGCCGGACAGCAGAAATCCTCCTCTGAGGTAGTAGCCATTGTCCTCTGAGTGACGCTGAAAACACAGAAAGGCAGACAGGAGATGGTGCTACTCCTTCCTCCGAGAAACTTCCTTCAAAGTTACTTTCAGTTCTAGCTGGGATTTTTTAAAACTCTTATTCCGTGTGTGGAGTCAGCTGCTGGTGTGAGTGGTAGTATTCCAGTCCCAGCACTCCCACCTGAAGCTCTCCTTTGTCGGTGGATGTCTGATGTTGGTCCGAAGGGGAATGTTGTTGTGGATTTCTGTCTTTCTTGTCAGGAAGGAGGTTTAACAAGCCCTGGGCTGTTTCCTTGTTTGTCTGCCTTGAGTCACACAAAAGGTGGAGCTCTTAAGGATCACAGCACCTGTCTCACATTGCACTTTTTGAATTGCAGGTGCACACACAGTCTACTATACGTTTTTTGGTAGTTACATTTTGGAGGGAAACAAAGTGAATCTTGAGTCCTGCGTGAAGTTAGGTTGAGGTAACAACATCACCTTGGTTAAATTTAGAAAAAACACACGGTTTTGGCTTAAAAACAGGGTAAACAGGTTCTGTCTCATTCCTCAAGTCAATGTGGACTTTTTAAAATACTTAACCAAAGCTCTTTCCCTAACCACGGCCAAGTGCAAAGTTCAACCATGCTATCTTTACAAGCAGATATTGTATTGCTAAATGAAACATTTTACAAGGTACAAGGTAACTTTATTATTATGTGACTAACAAAATGTGTTTGTTGTTGCAAATAAGTATAATTTCCAGGAAACATGGTTGCATATAAGTATGATTAGCCCCATCTTGTCTCTTCTTGTAAAACTTAAATATATTTTAAATTATATTTAAATATAAATACACCTACTTGCATGTTCCATTTTACTGTACATAACTTTAATTACTGAAGCTAAACACACAAATTTCACTGTGTCTCTGAGGTGTATTCAAATAAAACCAATGTGCACATTCGGCCAGAAGTCAGTCAGAGCGCAGAGAGAAACTCAGAGTCATGCTGTCATACAAAATGCTATAAAACCTGAGAATTAAATACAGAGTTACATCTGGCTTCATGATCAATTGATCCACTTCTGACCGCTCTCGCTCTCTGTCTATGAATACTAAGAGATTCTGCATGATTTTGCATCTTAAATTTCTCATGCTACTATTTCTATACATATTATGTAGTATGAACAGTCCAGAAACACACAGTCTTGTATCTCACATACTGTTATATTACAAGTTGAGAAACTGTAGAAATGGAATTTACATGATACGTAATCTAATCTATACATCTAATCTCAATAATCCAGATCTATAACCGAACCCGCAGGCTGGCTGTGACCTCTCTGTGTGGAGTTTGCATGTTGTCGGCGTGTCTGTGCACTCTGGCTGCCTCCCACAGTCCAAAGACGTGCAGGTTAATAGGTCAGTTGGTTACTCTAAATTGCCCATGTGAGCATGAATGGTCATCTGTCTCTATGTGTCAGCCCTGTGATGAACTGGTGACCTGTCTAGGGTGTACCCCGCCTCTCGCCAAATGTAAACTGGGATAATAGATAATGGATGGATGGATGGATGGATGGATAAGTAGATCTATTCATAAACATACTAATGGCCTATATGTGTCACTGTACTGTGGCAGTAATTGCAGGTACCTTGTACACTCTAGCTGGCTGGATCGAACTCTCTGGATCTGTCTGACCATGTTTGCCTGACGTCTTTGGTTAAGTTTGAGTCAGTGGGACACTCCCTCAAGTGTTCACGTGTGATAGATCCAACCCTTCTCCCATTGCCTTAATCTGGGCTGAAAATTACATTGTTGCTGTATTATAGATTAATAACATATTAACAGTCAAACCTCTTTCCTACCACAAACACTAGTACAACATAAATCCCAAATAAAAAGTAGAAAGTTATGTAGTTTTTTAGCTGCAGACGCCTCAGCATCCTGATTTCCCTCTTTCGTGTGCACAATAGCTCTAACTGTTCAAAATGAAGCTAAGATGCATCAGTACAAAGGAAAATTAAATTACTGAAAGGATCTACAGCCACATCACAACACACATTTTCAGCCAAAGTGGTTTTCTCATGTAGTAAAAGTATTGATCCTCAAATTGTCCAACTCTGTGTTGTAACACATTCATTACAAAACGAAAAAAGACTTTTTACTGTTTTTGTGGACAAATGTGTCTCCATCTCCCTGTTTTTGAGGCGAGATGGGGAAATGATTTGCCACAGGGCCTGAAATGATCCCAGTGCTTGTTGACACGATGGTTGTCTGTTTCTTCAGGGCAGTCAGGTCATCCTGGCATCAAGCCTTCCTTCTTCAAACCTCAAAAACCTGTTACTGCGGAGCTCTGAGCCTGACTGAAATCCCTGCGTGGCATGCTGCGGTCCCTGTGCCAGCACCAGCCTTCCTGCCAGCCCATACACTGATGTTACTGTAACACGAAGGGTTCAATATTCTGACAATAAAGAACAGATCTGAGTGTTTCGCAAGAACGCAAAAGCACCCTGAGCAGGGGTTGGTTGTTGAGAGCCTGGCAGAGCTTCTTGGTGGCACCTGCAGTGTTCAGGGATCATACAGTTTTGAAGAATAGACTGGCACAGGGGCTGGCATTGGTGCTGGCAGTGCCTTCTTTAAAAACAATTAGGCCTCTGACATTCAGCAGACAGCAGCTGTATGATGAACTCTGGCAAAGACAGAGAAGAGGGAAGCCAAAAGACTTACCACCCCAATCAACTCACTTGGATCAGAGAGTGGGGGGGGGACCCAAAATAAAAACAAGATGATCCTTCAGGGCTCCTTAATCGTTTGATGTGGCTGGTGAGGAACAAAATAACATCATCTGCGTACAAAAGAAACTTGTGAATGTTACTGGCTGTCGTGACACCGTGTATATTTGCATATTTGCATTCTCCCATATAGAAGGAAGGACTACTAGAACAAATACAAGAGGGGTAGTCCTATGGACCTAAACACTATTTTATGTAGATGTCATGGCGGTTAATTAGGCAATCATTGTGCAACAGTCTATAAGGGCTAGGCTACTGCAAAAACAGCCCAGTCTCTTTAAAGGCAGATTTACATTCAACATTTAGTGACAATGTAAGAAGTATTATGTATTTTACATAGTGAAGTGGAAGGTTTTTCCAACTGAGTGTGGGCTGATATAGTTGAAGGGAAGACTAACGTGACCATGCCTTCAGACTACTGCTGAACAAGACCATTCTGCAAAACCCCAAATTATTAATATTTTGCTTCCTTCAATATCTGCACATGGCAACTATGTTATAGGGCAAGATTGTGACAATGGCAAATAAATTGTGGTTAAAGTATGTTTGGGGTTAAACAACTAGAACGCCCGGTTAAGGTTAAGAAACTTCGATTAAGTTTAGGGACAGATAGTGAATACAGTTTCAGGTCTGTAGCACAATGTGAACTCTGGTGTCCTAAATGAAAGTTGAACTCACTACACATTTCCATGTCACTACATCCATCTGCAATGGCACTGAACATTGGCATTGAACATAAATTATGAGGAGCAAATTGTCCAATATGTACAGAATTCTGAGATACTGACTCTAAGGTACCTTTAGTGGAAAACCACTATAGTCATGAAGATATAAATTTGAGTAAGGGCCCTGATCTACTGTAATATTCCCCCTTGTCAGACCTCATTATCGTGTCATGTGAAACAACAGTACGTGTCGTTATCTCCTTTTTTTTTTTTTTACATGGGCCGACATTTTGGCGGACGTGGCCAAAACAGTGCTCGTTCTAATGTTTTTGTTTTCCTAACTTTATATTCGAGTATGATATTGAAGAATAAGTCCACTTCGCTGTCAGTCCACACATTTCATTCACCCTTCCTCAATGCACCATTGCTGGAAGCCTACCGGAAAAAGTTGTGTTCAGGTTTCTGATTGGCCAATATTGCTTTAGGGTTAGGGTTAAATCATTTTTAAACAAAGGAGGAAAAACTCAGTTTATAAACATACTTGTGTACGTGTGGACTAGGCCTAAGGCAGGGATACCTTTAATGTTCTTGGAACATCTCCTGAACTGCTGCACTGTTGTCTGATGGCACTTTCCATTGTCCATAATGAGGCAGTAACAACGTTGGACAACAGCTTTCCCACCATTCACATTTCTACATTTTCTGCTCTTTGCTTACATTTTCCATTCCACGTAACTCACCAGGCATGTCCCCTTACATGTGACTTCATACTGATTATTCTTTATTGGGAACTAGATTGAGAATATTGTGAGCAGAAGACTCTAGTGAGAACAGTTTTAGGGTTTCCTGTGCTGTGTTATTTTTATCTGTCACCACCAGATGTCAGAATTTACACATAAACTATCTCTGCTTCCTTCATGTCTTCCCTTTTTTTCTTGTTTTAGCTCTCATCTCCCTTTGCCTTCTGTTTTTCTGTTGTGTTTACTTTTTCTTCTCCCCCTCCCTTCTCACCTCCTTTCCACTTACCCTTGACTTGTTGTTATTACATTCTAGAGGAAGGGATGTTTGACTTTCTTAAATAGTGATTTCACAAATGTGGACATGACAGAACACCTGTACAGTGATGCAAACATTATATTAGGACTCACAGACAGACAAAGGGTCTATGTGTGTTGGAATTAAAGATGAGCATTTGATTATTGTGTGCATTGTATACAGCGATAACAGAAAAATAATGCTGAGAAATTATAACATAAATTTGAAATGTTTAAGCTTGTGCAATCAACACAGCTTTTTCCTGTATAAAACACCTGTGAGATGTCCTATGTACCGAAGATTTGACAAAGGAAGGACAACAAACTGTAAATGCCATTTTAGATTCATGGATTTGAGAATTCAAACAATAAATACTTGGTTTGAAAGGGGCTTGGTTTCATCCTCTGCACGATAAATATATAAATATTCTTTAGTTGGAACCTGGGAAATGGGTTTTAAATGTTTTTTCTTATCGACATGTTAGGTTAGCTTTAATTCAAAACAAAACTGATTCAGAACTTTATCTCAGCATGTCTGTCACAGTGTGTCTGAGAAGGCTCTCAACCGAACAGCCTGAACAGAACTGGAGGAGAAAAGACTGAGAATTCACAGAACCTGATCACAAGGTGCAGCCTGTGAACATAGCCTGACCTGTTTTTACCTGTCAGTCAGTTTTTTCTGCTCTGAAAGTTGTTGTTTTTTAAAAAAAAAAATCTTTCATCAGAAACACATAAGGTGAGTTACAGCTCGTGGGAAGTCCCCTAGTTTTGAAATGCGGTATCAGATGCTGCTTCCTTCTCTGAAGGTATGCTTGCTTTGCAGATTTCTAGATAAATTGTTCCCTCCAATAAGAAAAAAGTGTCACCATGTATGCAGATTTACAACAACACACTGTTTTTTAAAATCAACATACTCTAGGCCTCAAAAGTACAATGTCGGTGAGAATATTTCCTGTCATGTTATATTTTGAAGTTAACTGAACGCTTTCCCTTCAACTGACCTGCCGCTGACATCCTTTTGGAAGGAAGCACAGGTAGAGACTGCATTTACCATCATCCTTTGTAAAGAGATTAAGAGGTTAAAAACGCCTTGTAGTAGATTGGTTAAAAATCTGCGAGTTTTAAACAGTAAGGCCGTGAGGACATGTATTTGCTTGTAAAATAAAAGCGGTTGAGGCAAACGTTGCCCCCTGATCATAACCCATGGAAAAACAACATGCAACTGGCGATGATGTGTCAGAAGAAGACATTGTTTGTTTTAAGTGGTCACAAGCAAAATTCTCTGAAAATTTGTGAGTCAAATATTTAGATTTTCACACTTTAATTTAGTAAAATACATTGATTTGCTTTCTGGTGGAGAATTAGATGAGAACATCAACGCTACTCTCATTTTTCTCTGTTAGATATAAAACTATAGCCAGCAGCTGGTTAGCTTAGCTAAGCATAAAAACTGAAAACAGGGGGAAACGACAGGCTCTGTCAAAAGGCAGCAAAATCAGCTCACCAGCTCCTCTAAAAATCACTAGTTAACACGTTATATCCCATTTGTTTAATCTGTGGATGGTTTTGCACCAGACTATTTCTAGGCAGTACCATCAAATTCCTGCAGTCTCCACAGATCGCTGCTCAGAACTGATTGTGAAAAGGCAGATTGTAATTTTTACACTTTTTAAACTTTGACACTGGTTCATTATTGTTTAGATCAGATAAACATCTGTTGTTTCTTTCTGTCCCAGCAATATTGTTTTTTGCACATGTCTGCCAAAAATGTATGTTGTTGCTATTGTACCATGTTTGTTATATGGTCTGACAGTTTGGCTTGGTGTGTGTGTGTGTGTGTGTGTGTGTGCTGTTGTTGAGACTGACCCACTGTTTTTGTTTCTTTGTTTTTTGTCTTTTAGTATGATCAACCTTTATTGTGTTAGGTGTTAAATATGTTCATATTAGCTATAGCTTAATCCTTTTATCTTTTTAGGCGTGACATATTACCACTTTCTTCGTGTAGCAGTTAAACATTTTTCTTTCAAATCCGAAACATGTTGGTGTTTTACTTCGAAGTCCACACGGAAGTAGCGCCGTTATCGGAAAACGCTTTTATTTTTAAAGCTAGAACCGGAAGCGGTTGAACGCTCTTCTTGCGTGTAACTTTGCGCTGGGTCCTGACAGCTGCCACACTGGACTCGGACTGAGCCGAACTGTGTAAGTACGAACCCCCAATCCGCAGCGATTACAGCCCGTGTGCCGCCCCACGGCAGACTGCGCTGTACGCGGCCTCATATCATTTATGAAAATAATAATTACTAAGTTGAAAGTGTCGATCAGACGGCTAATGGAGGCGGGAGAGGAGCTCGGTCGATGTGTTTAGGCCTGGGACAACAGTTTGATCTCCACAGGGAGGAATCGTGCACCGATGCCCGTTTAAATGGATGCTATGCTTGTGTAGATGTGACGCTGTGTACGTGGATGACATCTAAATGAAAGCTAACGGCGACAGGAGTGTAATGCACGGTAACAGTTAATTCAATGAGATTTCCAGTCATCTTCATTGTGTGTCTGTGTTGCTCAGTAGTGAGTTGCACGCTTTAATGCATTTCAGATCTCCTTATCTCCCCATAGAAATCTGTAGTGGTGCCTGTGATTGATTGAAGAGTTTGGGCTCTTGTATGTTTGTTTTACACTCACCATCCTGTTGATATTATATTATAGACTTTAAAGCGTGTCTCTTATTCTGAAATGGTGTTTTGTCAGGAAAATACCTGGTAGATTAATCAATAATGAAAATAAGTGTTGCCTTGCTGTCATACATGGTGAGTTTATATACTGATCTCAGTCATGCCGTTTTGTTTCAGTAGCTGCAGGACGTTTTAAAGGTTTCCTATAATAAATGTGCAGTTTAGTTTTGGATTGTAAGAAAAAGCAGGTCTATTGGTGGGAAACCACAACTCACTGGCTTCCCAGTCCTCCACACTCACCTGTAAATAACCATCCACTGGAGGAGAGCTGTAATATTTTACATTATGCGAGTATACCACAGTATACTGTATGTTTTGCACAAACTGGGTTTTCAAGGCAGATCAGATCATTTTCAGATCATCAGACTAAATATTTAAAAATATGACTTCTGTGAGTTTGTTAGTTGGTTCCACAATATCCAGAATCACAGTTTGATCTTCTCATCTGACTTTCGAAAAGAACACGATTAGGCACCTCATCAAAAATTTCAAACCCAATTTAGTAAATTACTAGTTTGAAACTAGCTCATTGTGACGTAGGACATCATAACTACAGAAGTTACAAAGAATTACACACGATATACAAATAGCTGGTGGAACCAAAACCAAATAATAAGTAGAACTGAGGTTTCTTCTGTAAGTTTGTAAGTAAAAAATTACAATTTAAGGACACACTATTCCCCATAGTTATCAGGCAGTGCAAAGAAACACTTATAATTTACAGAAGATATAACTGAAGTTAAATTAAAAGGGATTTTTGGGTAATCCTTAGAAAATAACGTAATAAACTTCAAGCTTGGTTGATCAGAATCAGCCGGCCTCCATGTTTGATGCAATCACCATGTGTCCTGCAGTGTGTGGGAGTAAACGGCCAATGAGAGCCAAGCCAACGAGGGAAACAGATGCAGAAGTCACAACAATGGCCTTTTAAAACATGGCAGTTGCATCCAGATCTCCCTTTTCTCCATTGTTACCTTTTTTCCCATGTGTAACGAGTGTACACGCATCAAGGCCAGTGCTCGAGTACCACCGGATCATCCACGTTCCTTTTGCTCTGCAGGATCCAGCTGGTTGTGTCTGTTTGAGGGGGGGCATTAATGAAAGAATCACTACTCGTTAGCCAACGGCTCTGATTGTCTCGCCGTAGCCTGTTGCTGGCTGCACAGCAGGGTTGGGTATCGATCAGTTCCGATTCTACTTACCGAATCTCGGTTCTTGTCAAGTCTCGGTTCTGGTTCCTTCACCGCAGATCTTGTCAGCGCTCGGTGATCTTCACCCTCTTCCTCCTCGCTCCTCTTCCCCTTCATGGCTGAAAGGAGTCTCTGGACTAGAGGGGCGTCTCTAGGGACTCGTCTCTAAGGAAAAATCTATATTGAATCATCTGTAGACATCATTCGTTCCCCTTCAGTATAAAAGGTGAAAATCAGCTCACCTGTGTTTTCTACCTGAGACGTTGCTACTGTCAGTGTAGCTGGGAGAGCGTGACACGGTGAACGCGGTGAAGCGTTCCTTCAGATTCACGCCGTGTTGAAGGAAACTCGTCATGTTGGAGCTGCTTCCTCCCTCGCACCAAACCTCCTTACTGCAGCTGGTGCATTTTGCTGTGGCGTTCTCTGTTTTAGTGAAGCTAAGCCAAACTTTGGAGCTGCGGCCCGCCACGGTTCAAGACTGGAAACAGAAGGATTATCTTCTTCATGCTTTGTTGACGTAACAAATGAGGCAACGTTTATAGACTGTATCCAACGAAGGTTAAAGTCAAGAGCAACTGGACTTGGTTGAAGATACTGGCAGACGTTTCGTCCCTCATCCAAGGGACTTCTCCAGCTCTGTTATAGACTGTAAAATGCTCACAGCAGAAATATGCAAAAAAGCTATGAACTGATAAGCAGAATCGAAATGCTAGCGTTCTTGGAAATTTGGTAACGGTTCCAACTTGGAACCGGTTTCTCCCTATTTCATCATACCATGACAGAAACCATGGCTGTTCAACCAGACCACATGTGGCAGTACACACACCCGATTCAGAACTAGATGTTGAGTTGCCTCCATCAACACAAGATAAATCAGGTTGCCCACAATATCCAGAATCACAGATGAGGATGAGCGCTGGGTATCACTTCAGATGAGTCTATCAGAGCCAGGCTAGAAGTTTCTTAAGCTTAGCTGACCGGCTGCAGGCTGGTGTCGATCCTCTCATCTAACTCTCGGAAAGAACGCGATTAAGCGCAGAACCAAAAATGTCAAACCGAATTTTGTAAATTACTAGTTTGAAACTAGCTCATTGTGACGAAGGACCATCACAACACCAATAGTTACAAAGAACCACACACACACACACACACACACACACACACACACACACACACAGTGATGGATTTATGAATAGCTGGTGGAACCCGAGTCAAATAATAGTAAAATAAAAGTAGAATTGAGGTTTGACACCCAGAGACTACTCCCCTGCTGTCGACAGTGTGAAGACACCCACTGAAAGTCTGCACACAGCCATTGATTTCAAGTGTGCCAGTTAAAGTTTGCAGAGATTAACAGCAATAAACCATAGCTCACACACACACACACACACACACACACACACACACACACACACACACACACACACACAACCTCAAGTGACAACCTCAAAGGAAACTGTCAGTCAAACATGCTACGTGTGTGTTAGTGCCTTCATTGTTTGTCGGGAAGCAGTGACGTACTGCATGCCATCTAACACTAAATATTTGTGGTTTTACACACACAGAAAAGGACATTCCTGTTCTGCAACATAGCATGTTTTAAAAAAAAAAAGAAAGCAAGAAAAGCTTCAAACGGAAAGTTGAAGTAGAGAAAGAGGCTGCATTCAAATCCTCCCCCAAGTTTTTGAATCGTGTTTGTAGGCGGTTTAGCCTGCTAGTTGCAACACGTTTTGTCTGAGAGGGAGCTGAAGGTTTTAAAAGGCATGAAGCTCAGCAGCCCGGACAGTTTCTCACTCGCATATTAGTCAAACCTCTCCAACACAGAGCAGTCAGAAAATATTATTGGAGATATTGTTTCATTGTCGTGACTCTAAATTCTCCCCGGAGTTTGGGACAGTGCATGTTTCTCGCCTCACTCACAACATCTCAATCATCTGTGTCATCTGCTGAAGACCAGAGGGAAAGCAAAAGCCCCCAAAACTAGCATCACCGGGCATCACCGGGGAGGACACCAAGAGCCTGCTGATGTCAGAGACTCCAGCTAATGTTAAACATGATTTACTTTGTGTTAAAAGAGCAGTTCAGCATTTAGAGACACGTGTTTTGTTTTTGCTTTCTTTCTGAGAGAGAGATGAAAATATCTATAGAAATTTCATGTGAGGAACGTGGTTAGCCTAGCTTAGCATACACTCCAGAGCTGTCTTAATGAACCGACGTGTAAAAACAGCAATTTGTGATTTCACGAAAAGTAACGTGTTGGTGTTTTTTTTGTTAAAACAGTGTTTGCATCCGTCCAGCCATCGGCAGCTAAAGCACAGGTTGCCAGATAAGGTTGTTAAATACATCTTGATCTCTGAGGCGCGATTGGCTCAGTTGGAAGGGCGAATACTCCTGTATTATATAATATTACTGAACTGTAACCATGCATTTTGTTAGGCCTACATCTTGGGAGGGTTGGCTCATCTGGACTAACATCCATAAGTTAATGAAGAACATCTAGTGCAGGCATGATCTTGGCCACTGACAGATAACATGGAAATGTAAGCCAGTGTCTTATCATAACGCTGTTTGCAGAAAAAATAAATGTTTTCCACCAGGGCTGGAAAATGTGAAGTTAAGCTGTCTGATCTGAGCTTCCATGCTGTACAGTTTTAATGCCAATAATATTCATCAGCTGTCTCCCGAACGTAACCGGCACATTTTTCTGTCCACGTAACAAAGCCAAAACACAGCGCTGGAGAATAACGTTACATGAAATTACAATCCAACCACATATTTTACAGCATTAGCTAGAGGAACATGTTACTTCTCTCAGTGATTATGGCCCATCGCCAAAACTGGCAGACAGCAGTAATATCTGGTAATTTGATCTTGAAATAGATCTCAGTCATGACTGCAACAGTTACTCACATTATCACTTCCTCTAGAAGAGTCCACAAGAGTGTTTCCTTTGCCTGGAGATACTGGGGAAATGAAAAAGCATCTGTAGGTTGATGGATGCGTATCCAACACCGGACACATTCTTTACTGTGATCATGTGAAACAGTCCTTCATTATCAATTTGTTGAAGAGATACAACAATAAGAGCCGGGCTTTCCCTCTGCTTCCAATCTATGCTTTATAGGGCGGTTGTGGCTCAGAGGGTTAAGCGGGTTGCCCACAGATTGGAAGATTGGTGGTTAGAACCCCACGGCTCCTCCAGTCTGCATGTCCCAAGAGTCCTTGGGCAAGATACTGAATGAACCCAAATTGCTCCATTGGCATGTGAAACGTTCATTTCTGTCTCTGATGAGCAGTTGGCACTTTATCCTCTGACATCAGTGTATGAATGTGTATAAAACAGGTTAATGTGACATTGAGAAAAGCACTTACTGTGGTCAGAAGACTAGAAAGGTGCTGAGTACAGACCAATTACCATATCCACACAAACAAAAGATTAATAATAAATGTTGACGATTCATTTGCACAGCTATTTTCTGTCCCTCAATATTAGCGGACTGTTAATTTTTTGTGGGTGTTCATGCATATAAATTTGTGCAGGAATGGGTACAGTGCCAGCAGGACAACATGTGTCACCATCAGAATATTTTCTGACAGCAGTGCATTAAACTAACTTTATTACAAGCATACAACCTCACTGCAGCTTTAACCTGAGGTAACATTAAATGTCGATCTGTCCCGCCTCCTGGCAGCGTTCCTGTGATGCCCCAGGGTGGGCTGAGCTGGTCGGGGTTGCGATGCCTTACGTGGACCGACAAAATCGCATCTGCGGTTTTCTGGACATCGAGGAGATTGAGAGCAGCGGCAAGTTCCTGCGGCGATACTTCATCCTGGACACTCAGCAGGGCAACCTGCTGTGGTACATGGACAACCCTCAGGTGAGACTGTGTGTGGATGGTGTGTGCAGATAAATATGATACACGTGATTGAGAACACCTACTCCCATGTGACCAACGATGACAACATCGAATCCACATGAGTATGTGTGTCTTTATGTAGTGCTCTGGTACCATGATGCTGATTCTGGTGCTGATGCATTTATTTATTTGTACTTTTAATAAGGAAATTAATGTGACGCATCATTTTAAAGTTCAAAAAACATGTTCGCTGCACACTATCAGTTAGTTTATTCCAGTTTACTATGAAAATCCACTTGCTTCTGGGAAATAATCATCCGTTTAGTTGCCTTTTTATATTTTCAAGTCAAAGTCAACTCTCAAATGCACAAGACAATCAACTCTGTATTAATATTTATTATTATTATTTATATGCATTTTAGTTGCAGACTCTCAGAAACCTGAGAAACCAATCAGCCCCTCGTCCCTTGTCTCCTACTGAAGACATAAATCTCACACGATGGTCACAAATAGATATTTTTTTTAAATGCTCAGTAATTTTCCAAAACAGCTGGTCAAACAGGAGGAAATAGTGCATCTGTTGGGGACTATTTTCATCGGTGGATTAATCCACATTTGGCGCTCTAGTGAGTATTTGGGGCAGCAGGACGGCGTGCGTGGGACTGAGTCAGAATAAACTACAGTGTGCGTGTTCATGGTGATGAAGGAACATGTGACCCAGCGCAACAGTGAGGCTCATTTTATAGTTTTTGGATGGAGTTCCACAGATCAGATATATGCAGTATACAGATACACTGATCAGCCAGAACATTATGACCACCAACAATCAAATAACACTGATTATCTCATTACCACAGCACATGTCAGTGGGTGGGATATTTTGGGCAGCAGGTGAACATTGAACACACACAAAGAAAAGCGGTGAACTGATGACAGGGTCATGGGCGGCCGAGGCTCATTGATGCATGTGGGGGAGCGAAAGGTGAAGAAAAGTGTCAGAACACACAGTAGACCAGGTGGTCATAATGTTATGGCTGATCAGTGTATATCTTGATACACACACACACACAATCAGTTCATTGTCCCACTTTTCTTTGGACTTGTTGGCATTAAGAGTTGTTAACTAAATGCTCACTGTGATGCTCTGCCTCTAACTATTTAGCTTGTCTCTGCTCTCTGATTAAGTTGATCTTTAATGTGAACTGAGGTGAACTGTCCTCTTCTCTGTAAACTGCATAGTCACACAAGTCTCAGTGCTCTTTACAGTAAAAAGAATAAACCAGTAGTGAGGCAGAAGATATGTAACCAGAGGAAGGTGTGGTGTTTGCAGTGTGACCTATACAAGGCCTTAACAAAGGAAAGCAGAACTGCGCCCCAACACAGATTTGAGTGCGGTTGGTTGAAGCTGTAAAAGGAGAGTGAGTGAAAAGGTTTACCGCTCTTATCAGATACATCTGACAGGTTTGACAGATCATCTGTGCCAAACCGAGCAGAGAAACAGGAACCAGAACAGAAACTGAAAAGGTTAGTAGTAGCAGTAGCAACATTCCCCACAGCTCAGGAAATTCCTCAACCACAACAGCTTCAGACAGACACCAGGTCAGGTTTTTGGCTTCAGCTGCCAGTGCACAGAGTTTTGATTGTTAACTAAAAGTTGCTGCTGGTATTGATATCTTAAAAACATTTCAGATTTGTCTTCTGAAACATCCTGAAGACCTGCGTTTCTCGAGCTTTTTTAGCTTGTGACCCCTTAAAATGAAGCTATGTGGACTTGTGACCACTCAGCGCAGATTAAATATCTATTTTAATCATTTAAACCATTTATTTATGTTTATATTTTCTTGAGGCGTGATGTGGTAAAATAGTTTTAATAATGCACAAATGCATTAGAGGCAAGCCTGAGGAAAGAAACTGCTTCCATCTCCTCTTGATCTTCTCATGATCTTTCAGATATATAACTCCTCGTAGGGTCCTCATGTTGGGAACCACTGTCATAAAACCGTTTTAAAAACAAAACTGCTGTTTTTCACAACTGGAATTAATGTTATAGTCGTAGTAAGCTAAATTGCAGCCTATACTATGATCTGAAATTATAATAAATCCACTAACATTTACCCTAATCAAAGCTTAACCACAGGGGTGTAATATCAGAAAACAGTTTTTTTTGAGAATCAGTTGAATTTGAACTAATAAGCTGTTTAAATGTTACAAACACTGTACAAACTATAGATTAGGCAGACTATCCAAATCAAATGTAACCGGTAAATATAATCAAATGGCCAGAAATAACTAGAAAATTCATAGTGATCAGCTTATCAGCTGATCAGTTTTAGGCTCTAGATTTTGTGTTTAAACTGTCAGGAAACGTTTGCTTTTTAACCAAAACTACGACGCTGCGTTCAGCTCTTAGGTCTTGTCTTGTGTTTTTCCAAATGAATGATTCTGAGCAAAATCCAAGTGGAAACTAACAGAAAATGTTACTGAAGTTCATGTTTTATGCATGAAGATCTTTGTCTGAACAGCGGAACATTAATTCTTTCATTGCCTTGAACTTGTAGTAAATTATTTTGCATACAGTATTGTGTTATACGTATATAGACATTTAAAAAAAATACTAATTATTAATGTTGTGATATTGATTTCCATCATCTCACCAAGCCCCGGCAGCGTTTTTTAAAGGAATGAGTAACAAACCCGGTCCTTGTTTTCCAATAAAACTACCTTTACTACTGCTGTTATTTCTACTTGTACTCCAACTACTGTTACTACAAATAACAACAATAATGACGCTGATGGTTGTACTTTTGTTTCCTTGTTCAGAATCTGCCTAAAGGTGCAGAGAACGTGGGATCTCTCAAACTCACCTACATCTCCAAGGTTTGTCCTCTCTCTGTCTCTCTCTCACACAACATTTCAGTGTGTCCATTACTTTGATTTCTCACCAAACACCTGCTAAGCTAATTGATTCCCAAACAGTTGTTCAGTTGTACTTGGGTTTAATGCTAAAGATGCTAAACTGAGACGGTGATCATGGTAATTATTACAAATGCTAAGCATCAGCATGTTGTCTCCTGGTTTCTGGCTTCTTCTTCTTCTTCTCTGCTGTCTCTAAATGGTTTTGGTGATAAGTGGCAGTAGTCAGGTTTTCATTTAAGTGTAGTGCAAATTTTAACAGTATTTCGTGAAAGTATGCATAAGACAATGTGAAGTAACGTCCCCTCTGCTCTCTCTCTCGTTCAGGTCAGCGATGCCACCAAACTCAGACCAAAGGCAGAGTTCTGCTTTGGTAAGTTCATCTTCCTTTTCTTCTCCCTATCTGCCTCGCTGTCTTTATCTCTCCCTCCCTCTGTACCTGCACTCTACCTCTGGTCACATACTTTTCTGTACGTCGGTCTGTTTTTTCCTGAATAGGTTCCTTATTTCCACTGAAGGGAAATCGTGTGGCTACAATATACAATGATATTTGAAACAATAGTGAGCTTCCACCTTCGTGGCTACAGTTTGTGTTTGTCTCTTTCCTGTTTCACTACGACAATGCAAATCTGTGCAAAAACAGCCAGGTTTTCCCAGTCTGGTGCAGAAGAACTTGACTGGCCTGCACAGAGTTCTGATTACAACCCCATCCAACATCTTTTGAGTGAGAGCCAGACCTGATCACCAACATCAATGTTGGACCTCACTGATGCTCTTAATGGGAGCAGGTCCCTGCAGCCAGCTTCCAACATCTGGTGGAAAGAGTGAAATCAGAAGAGGAGAGGCTGTCAAAGCAGCAGATTAATGTCCGTGGCCACATATGGTTGCAATGCTCAGGTGTCCCCTTTGGCCATGCAGTGGACTGCTTTTCTTTTCCAACTTTCTTTTACTTCCTTTGTCCAACCCTCTCTCCTCTATCCTTTCTCATTCATTCCCACTCCTTCCTTGTTTATTTCCTTCCTTGTTTCTCCCCTTCAGCCCTTCCTTGTCCCTTTTCTCCTCTTTCCCTCCCCGTGTTCCTCTCCCGTTTGGTTTGTTTCCTCTCTTTTGTCCCTTGCTGCTTGTTGTTGTTCCGCTGGTGGCCAACAGTAGCTTTTTGTCACTCAATAGGAGGAAACTGTGCAATAACCCTGACCTGACCTCTGTGTATGTGTGTGTGCGTGCGCGGGTATTTGCGTCTGGATGGGATGTTGACATACACATGCACACACACACACATCCTCTGCCTCTGAGAAACCAGAAACAAACTGATATTTTTAGATCAGGATTTGCATGAAGCTCAGAGCTTTTGTGTTTTCTGGCCTAGTGTTTCAAGTAAGAAGAAGTTAACACACAACACATTTAAATTTCGCTCTGTGTCTTTCCCTCTCTGCAGTTATAAATGCGGGAATGAGGAAGTTTTATCTGCAGGCCAACGACCAGCAGGATTTGGTGGAATGGATCAGTGTTCTCAACAACGCTACCAAGATTACTGTGAGCCTCACACACACACTAATGGATCAATAGGTGACCCTGTTTCTCCCATTGTTGTAGCCTGCTCTGCCTCAGGCTGCAGCAGATGGAAAATTACCCATCAGGCCAGAGAGATAAAGTTCAGTTCAGGCTTAACAGAGTGTGAAGGGAAAAAGAACAAGGAACAGCAGGGTCTCATGTCCACCTGCAGCGGCAGAGGTCTGTTGTCGCTTGGGGAGTGGCGGGAATCTCGGTTCCTTTTACATTTTACATTAGGTCGCACGCCTCTGGAGCAACGAGGGGTTAAGTGTCTTGCTCAGAGTGGGAATCGAACCCGGGTCTCCCACACCAAAGGCAAGCTTTTTGTAGAGAAACTCAGCTGTCAGTGTCAGTCCCTCCAGGTTTTCGCCGACCTTTTCTGTGATTATTGCGGCCTAAAATGGCTGATTTTGCAGCAGCTTTTATTAATTAGTCATTTAGCTCACGCATTTTATCCAAAGTGATTTACAATTGCTATATACAGGTTCAAAATGTGGAACTTTCAGATATTTTAGATTCATTATAGTTAGAGTGAAATATTTTAGGCCTTTAATCTTGATGTTTACGGCTTCCAGCTCATGGAAATCCAAAATCCACATCTCAAAATATGAGAATAAAGAATGTGTAATACAGAAATGTTGACCAGAGAAGATCTCTGTTTGGTTCAGTTCACACAACCACAATCAAGGGGAAGACTAGTCACTTGACAGCTGTCCAGAAGATGCTCATTGGCCCCCTCCACAAAAAGGGGAAGCCACAGAAGGTCATTGCAGAAAGGGCTGGCTGGCTGACAGCGAGCCTGATCCACTGCGCCAGAGTAGTTTCGTTGCTTTCACAGGTGACAGGCACGGACGTTTTCAGGCAGGCCGCCGAAATCCTGAAGGGACCATGAAAGCTGCGATGTCCTTGGCCATTTTGAACTTGATCTGATGGGTACAAAACCACTAAGTAACCTTCAGTAACCTTCCAGAAAGAAAGGCAAAACAAAGCAGTTAAAGTATCACAACAAAATATGCTTCATTTGTACACAACGTTACCCCTAACCCTGCATATTTAAACCAACTTACTTTGATTCTTTTAGAGCTTAGGACGCAGCCGCCCGTGTCTATGTGTAGTCAGTAGACGATTTCCTTTATGTTCGACCACAAACACGTTACCCCCGCTTTCATAAAGAAGATCTGGATTCTGTTTATCACGGTCCTTTGCTGTTATTTTTCTAGGTAAATGTGAGACTTAGGTTAGATAGTGGATTGCGTCTGTTGCTTTTGCAGCTAAAAGGGTAAATGTTTTAATTGAATTTTGTACTATTATTTCATATTTGTACTGATAGATTTGCTTTCCTGCTTCTCTTTCTTGGCCAGGGCGCCCTTGAAAAAGAGATTTTATCTCAATGGTTTTTTTTCCCCTGGTTAAATAAAGGTTAATTAAAAGAGCAACAGTGTAGTTGGTGTCATTTGTGTGTTTTAAAGAATAAGAGCGGTGATATTTATATTTTTCTTATTTTGGGTGCAGTTTGGAGACAAAAGCTAAGTTAAAAGATCCTTGAAGAGATAAAGAAAAAATGATAAGCTAGTTTAAATATATAAATAATATATATATATATATATATATATATATATATATATATATATATATATATATATATATATATATATACACACACACACACGCACACACACACACACACACAAGCCATGTGATTGACAGACAGGAGTTTTGTTAATCTCGTGCTGTGTTTTTAGGTGCCAAAGCCAGGCGAGGGCCACACCGCCCACACAGAGTTTCCCCAGGAAGGACTTGGAGCCATGAAACAGGTCTCCTACAAGACTGAGATTATAGGAGGAGTCCCTATCATCACCGCCACACAGGTAACACACACGCACTGTTGTTGGCAGCAGCAGTTCCAACAGGTCTGGTCCTGTCTGTGATGGTATGCAGCCTCAAACACGTGACCCAACACGCGTCAACACAGACGAGTGACGGCTGGTTTAAATTTTATGACTGGAAAAATAAACACACCTACACTCAGCTACGAATGTTATGCAGCGTCAACGGAGAAATGCATCAATTTTAAACGTCAAAGTCTGTTTTAGAGGTTTTGAAAACTACTATTACCTTCCTATGCACTACACAGGTAGTAGTACTATAAAGTAATAATATAGTAGTATTAAGCCTTTTGTGTCTGATAAATGTCCTCAAGTGATGTCACTTGAGTCGGTGTCGATTGAAGACTACACATGCGAAATTGAAACAAATCTGTTGGTGTGGAGGTAGAAAGAGAGTTGACGAGTAGTAAGAAAGATATTTGCTTCTGCTGCAATGATTTTGAACCTTTGACAAATTAATCTGAAGAAGTAAACTGAGGCTGGAAGACAACTGTGAGTTATTCTTGAGAATAAGTTGATGTTTGAGGGCAAAATTCAGTAATTTTAGACAGCAGTCGTAAGGCTTCCTGTTCAGAAGAAAGAAAGACATGTGAGGAATATACCTCCACATTTCTGCTTCTTGTTATATGCAACTTTCTCCGCTCACCCTTTAAAATACCGTGTTATTTATTGGATGATATGTTACATGTTGACATTGTGTACAACTGATAAGATGTGTGATGACTTTAAAGTGCCTATAATCAGCATTTTCATATAACGATGAATCACATGACTACTTGTGTAGTGACAAACTCGCACATAATTACTCTGCAGCTCTCCTCAGCTCTGTGTGGAGTGTTTTCGCATCCTTCAGCTCATTTTGGTTTTAAAGCCTGCTACTTAGCTGTGTTCAGTGAAAAGGCTCTTGTTAAACTCACTGTGCTCTACCTGCCCAGCACAAAACAGAGTTAGTAAGTTAGCAACTAGCTGGTGAATATAGTGGAGCATTTAGCAGCTTAAAAGCCAGATATTTGTCTCAGTAGTTTGTAGAAACCACACAAAAGCTTAAAGGAGAGTAAATATTGGACAGAAACACGACTCCACATGGATGCTAACGTTGCTTTGTATATGCTGGATGTGTAAATAAGGGGCTATTTGTTATAAGGTCTTCCAAATTAAATGTTCTGTTTTGTCAATATTACGAGAAAATGTTCCGTATAACATTATATTTGTGTGTTTTAGGAGCAGGGCGAGGGGCAGAACGGGGCAGAGCGTGGGGGTTTGAAGCGGGGTCAGAATCAACTGCCATACTTCCTGTCCAGGGGAATGCAGGACCAGGCCATGATCAAGGTTGGATACTGCGTCAAACAGGGAGCCTTGGTAAGGGTACACGCACAGTTGTGGTTATTGGTCCTGATTATATTTTAAACATTATTAGCCCTCACCCATTAGCATCCAACTTTAACCTTTAAGCCAATAATGTAGGAGTTGCGTTTGATCAATGCCTCAAATTCAATCAGCTCATTAGGAGTCTTGTTCAGTCGTATTATTTATAAATCAGAAATACTGCCAAAGTTAAACTGATGCTCCCTCAAAACATAGTCAAACAACACCTTCATTTCCTCTCTCCTGGACTCCTGTACTTCAGTATTTACTTGTCTGAATGATGCAGCAGTTGCCCGTCTACAGTTGGTGCAAATGCAGCGGATGATTCCTAATGTTAATGGCGATGACTTAATCTTTCTCTAGCCACATCAGTAGGCTGAAATGTCAACTTGTATGAAGAAATAAGAAAGAACGAAGAAGGTCTTGTAGGGACGGGTATCGCTGCTCGGTACCTTTATGATATTGACCGAAACAGCCCGGTCAAACCAGAACTTCATTCGAAACTTTTTGTAACCAGATTGCAGCAAAAAATTACTATTTGTGTAGTTTTGCTTGCAACCAAACACGCAACCAACACACCGAAAGAAAGAGAAGAGCAGCCCTTTTTTTCCCCTTATGTGCCTGTTTGTTTTGATCGGCTGGACCTGCAGATTCTCTTTACTCTGTTTGAGAGTCTTTAGTTTAGTGACTTTTTTTAATCTGACTGCTTTCTCTTTTTATACTTCTGACAGTCGTTTTTGGAGGTTTACGACTCACCACTAAAGGAAAAAGGAGATCTTTCAATTCGCTTTATTTTCAACACGCGTATCAAAAAATTACCTTTAAATTTGTTTCCTACAACTTATTTGGTCACTAAACTATTTCACTTCTCCTCTCTTAATCAAAGATAAAAAAACTCCCAAGCTGTCGTCTGTGAGGACGACCTAATCAGGATGAGGAGGATCTGATACAATTTCCCAATACTTTTTTGTTACAGTGTTTTGAAACAAAAATATAAAATAAATTAGATCACCTTGCTTGTCCATAACAACAATAAAAATAATAATAGGCTACCAGTAAACTACTGAGGCTTCAACAGGTGGTATTTTATGCAAGGTATCAAATGAAGTACTCTATTGGTATTTGTATCACTTTAAGGGTACTGGTATCGTAAAATTTGAAACGATACCCAACACTACCCAACTGTCATGATTTCCTCTATTGCCACCCTCAAGACAAACTTTAAAAAAAAATCCTAAATCATTGAGATGTTGTTTGTTTTGTCCAATACTCTAAATTTATGGGGTGCTCTAGTGCACACTGCCAGGATATTAAATATTTTCTTGTTTACTTGATCCCTTATTTAGTCTTAAAAATGTCAAACAAATATTGTTAAATGTCAAACAAGTCATCAGAGTCCAGTGTGATGTTTCTTCTGACCAACAGTGAAAGAGACCCAAAGATATATTAACTGACAACAGTCCTAAAGTCATTATGTGTCGTGTGTTTTTGTGAGTTTTTGTGAGTTTCAAACATAACAAAACTTAAGTTACAGTGGCTAAACTGGCAATAATATCTTCCTCAGATGAAGAACTGGAAGAGGAGATACTTCATGCTGGATGAAAACGCTCTGAGCTACTACAAGTCTGACCTGGTGAGGAAATGTGTTTTCAAAGATATTTAAGTGAACTGGTCCATTAAAGAAATCATGTTACAGCAGGAAGCTGGCTGCAACCGGGTTACTTAAGTACATGTTAGCACACTGACTGTTGGCTTAATACAGCAACACTGTACAAAAGTTTGAAAGCAGCAGAACACCCAAAGTGTGTGTGTGTGTGTGTGTGTGTGTGTGTGTGTGTGTGTGTGCGCAGCAAAGCTTGTTTTGCCCTCAGTTAGTGGTGTGTGTCTACTTGCAGCGGCATGTGTCCTGAATACCTCCTCAAATGATCCACGTGTGGACAGATTAGCGAGTCCTAACCACAGCCTGTCTGTGCACATAAATGGACACACCCTGTGTGTGTGTGTGTGTGTGTGTGTGTGTGTGTGCATACTGTGTTCATGCCTTTTATATTTCCCATCGTAGGTATTAAACAGTCATGCATGTAGAGTGGCAACTATTGAATCAAAATCTTAAATAATACAAGTCAGTGTCGGAGACAAAAGTAAATGTGTAACTTTACGAGGAGACAAAGAGAAACAGAGAACAGAGCTGTGAAGCGTGAGCTGCTGCTGGTTTCAGAGGTATTTCTACCCACCGCGAGTTACCATTCGAAACTTGGAATCACAGAAGCGCTTTGGATCATTTGAGAGTATTATAGGTTTATCTTCTGATCAGATTGAATTGTTTCAGGATCGCTTCATCATGGTATTTAAAATATATATAATTCATCCAAAACTGACCCAGAATCTGAAAGTGAACTGATTTAAATTACTGGATGTTTTTTTTTAACGTGAAATCTTTGGCTTCTGCTTACTGAATTTCCTTTTTTCATTTCCTTTTTTTTTATTTTTATCAAAGATATTTTCTATTAATACATTTGTCCATCTTTTGATACTGATGATTCAACCGGGAGAGTCTTGTGTCTACTTACGACCTACAGCACTACTGTCAGCTAGGGCTGTACGATCTGACGAAAAAAATCATATCCCGATTTTTGGAAATTCAATGAAAAATGACATTTCTAAATGTAACTCAGGATATTTCTCTGCATTATAAAGGTGGGGTAAGCTATTCTGGAGAAATCCAACACCATGACAAATACCATACACAGCAAGTAATGTAACTAACGTTAGCCTGTTTGTGGATTCCTGCTCTAGGATCGATACTCGTATAAAAGGATCGATATCTAAACTTTATCATAAGTACTGTCTAATTATACTCGGTTGATAGGAACTACTCCTCCTTCCGCCTGTCAAACTGATGCTTGCACTACGGCTCTGTGACGGAGCTTCTTTCAAGTTTATAATTCCCACGACTGAAGAATGACTCTGGCTGACTGTGAAAGCAGTCACGTCTGGCTGTTTTGTTTTTTTTTAGCCGTGAAGGTAATTATGACGCTGTGTGTGTGATGTGTGTGCAAAGACGGTGAAATACTTTCGCAACACTGCAAACTTCCCTAAACATCTGAGACTAAGTCCAAATTATATGATGATGTTATGAAGAGGCAGTTCTGAGCAGGATATTTTTATTATAATTAAAAAATATGACAGTAGTTTGATGTCTTGTCATTATGCAGCTCTTATTTTGAATTGAATTATAATAAAATATGTAAAAATCGGCAGTACCAGCCTGGGTATTACTTGGTATTGGATTGTATAGGAATTAAGTGGTATTGCACATCACTGGTGTTATGTGGCTCGTCCATTCTATTTAATGCAAATTTCTTCCCTTCAACATCGGCACGTGTGGAAGAACGTACATAAAACTAACTTCACTGCGTTCACTCACCAAAACATTATGTTTAAATGTGGAATTTGCGACACAATACATAAATATAAATTGTAAACAATAGACGTTTTTCTGTTGTCAAACGACAGATATCATCATATCGCACAGCCCTACTGTAAAATGAAAGGGAATTTTACTGGATGCCCATATATGCACAACTTTTTCCCCCTCTCTTGTTAAACAAATTGATTAGCCTATAAGGACACTTTTTCACATGCTCACAGTAAAGCATGTGCTGCACTGCGTGTGCGTCCCGGTGTTTGATCCACATCCATAAAGCTGTGGAAACTTATTTTCATTTCCCTGAGGAAATTCAGGGGAATCCAATCACACGTTTACTGTCTGCTTTTTCAGAGGTTTGTCAAGAATGAAGTATTCTTTCGAATGTCCTTCAGAACTTTTCAGAGTAAAAGCTCTCAATAAACTTTCTTGCGCTTTTATTTTGGAGGCACAATCACTTAAGAGGAAGTGATTATGTGAGGAACTGTAGCTGTCATGACTGAGATCTATTTCAGCATCAGCCGCTATGATTTTATTCATTTTTTATTTTTCTGCTATCAAAGCAATCTGACCGCGGGCCAGATATTATTGCCGGAGGGCCAATTGTGACCCGCGGGCCGCCTATTGCCGACCACTGCACTATTCTATTAGTTTGTGTCACTGAAGATGTACGCTATTTCAAAATATCCTGAACTGTGAGGAAAGCTAGCTAGCTGGTGGGATCCCTGCCATTTCTTTGTCCCACCGCTTGACAGACAATTAAAACTGTGAGGTCATGATTGGTGCTGATCACTTTAATGTTAAGAAAACATACTGTTTATAGCCTGAATCTAGTCAAAAATACCCTGATATCACTTACAAAGTGTCGAGGCACAAGCTGAATTTAAGATAAAACCTTCTTAACAGCTACAGAAGACAGAGCGTTGCTGTAAAGATCACATACCACATCTGAAGTGAGACAGGAAAGGCAAATGCAGTACACCACACATCATTTAAATAGCCTGTAATTTTCAGCTATTTTTAGTCAGTAACCACAGCTAGGTATGCTGGGAACACTAATAACAAGTACATTGTGAGCCTCTATTTCACTTGTGCTGGTTTGGGTTGGACATTGTGATCATATGTTCTGTGAGAAAATAGGTTGGAGTATTTTCTTTGTACAGTTTATATAGAGGTATATATCTCTGTATCTTGTTTGTATAGGCAATTGTTCAGGAGTGTTGGACTATGGCAAGACCTGGAAGAGGTTTGATAAAGTTCAGGAGCTGTAATCCAGTATGCATTTACTCTCTGCTTTTGTCCCCTGAAGATTAGATGAATGCTTTACCTCTGATTAGTGTTGCCAACTTTGTCACTGTGAAATAAGGGACAAAAACTGATCTAATCTCTTAATTAAATATTTGGTAGGTTTAATAATAGTTTATTTACAGCCGGTACCTTTATCACAGTTCTTTAATTGAACCACTACCTGTTGTCTTTACTTTCTGTCAAAACACTTGTGGCTCTTGCATTGTATACGACAAACTAAAAAGAACATAGCTTGTGATGTGTTGGTCTTAAAAGGTAACTTTTATTGGTAACCAGAGGAGCAGACCGCTAACAAACACAAACAGACTGCAGAAGCTAACCAACAAAGTACTTACTTCACTACACTGAACACAATCAACACGCACGAGGCACACAAGTCAACTGCTTGTGACAAGCTGCCCAGAGCAAAAGGTGGGCTCTCCTTAAGAGCAGGAGGTAATGCTGAGGTGGTGACGAGCCATTGGTTGAGCTGGAACAGAGCGGACCAATGGGTGGGACTGAAGTCAACCTGACAGAGCTCCACAGAAACCAGGAAGTAGGCGGGTCTTCATTCCACATGTAGACCTTTCTTCATTACAGGGTCGCACAGCCTGCTTGGCATAGGTGAGACAGAACATGGCAGTTCATCAGAACTTGATGGATACCATTTGCAGTTTCATCACTATCTTCATAAAAGTGAAGTAACTTGCATCGCACTCCCATCAGGTACAGAATAACATCTCACACACACTGGAAACATATTTCTGTTTCCCTTTGAGGCGTCGGTGGCAACACAGGCTCGCCTTCAGTCGGGGATAGATCATTCAGGATACCCCGCACAGTCTCTGGTCCTAAAACCTTCATTGTGATCATCTCAGCTTCTCACCAAGTGCATATTTGTGTAGTTTAACAAGACTGTCGGTGCTGAAGTCCATGTTTGACCGTGTCACTTCACTTGCCGCTATTTTGTCAATTTCCACAGTAACTGCATTTAACGTTACTTAACTTAACAGGCCTACTGAGGCGCGTGAGGCAGGGGGGCTGTGATTGGATGATGACCGGTGTCGTGATCAGCACTGCTGCTGTTGTATCAGTCAGTGGTTAGATCAGCGTAGTGGTCAAAAAACAGGACGAGAGAGGTCACGTATGGGACAAATCAGTCAGGCCTAATATAAGAGGCTTCCCGGCTACTACGGGACGGTCGGTAACCCTACCTCTGATTCATCTGCATACCTTTTTCTGACTGACGCAGGTGCAAAATATTTTACAGAATGTTTCCTGTTGATTCAGACAAGAGCGAGAATCTCAATCAAATCAGGAAACGTAGTAGAAACATGGCAACCAAGCAGTTAGAGAAGTCACGCGGGTTTTAAAGAACCACACCTGTGGATATGCACGTTTTAGCTGTTGTTGTTGTTTTTTGTCTAATTCTTTCCTCTCTTCCCCCTTGCAGGAAAGGGAGGCTTTGAGAGTCATCCCATTGAAGGAGATTCACAAAGTTCAGGAGTGCAAACAGAGGTCAGTGAGCTTTCCTGTTAGCAGGTGTTAGCATGTGTTGCTGTCCGAGCTTTTTGGGCCGACTCGGGCCATCGCGTCGCAGGTCTTTAAATGTTGCTGCTGCTTGGTCCCTGTTGTTTTTTCTGCAGTGAGCTGATGATGAGGGACAACCTGTTCGAGATGGTCACCAGCTCCAGAACCTTCTACATACAGGTAACACACAGGAAGGACGAGTCTAAACATAATTTTTTGCTCCTTTCTTATAAGCACTTCACATGTGTGTTTTAACTTACCAGGTCCCCACATTATGAGCCAGATTACTTCTTCGGCATGGTGGTTCAGATGTAGCACAAACAAAAAGCAAAAGTATACATTAACCTCTCTCTCTCTCTCACTCACTCACTCACTCACTCACACTCTCTCTCTCTCTCTCACACTCTCTCTCTCTCACACTCTCACACTCTCTCTCTCTCACACTCTCACACTCTCTCTCTCTCACACTCTCACACTCTCTCTCTCTCTCTCTCGCACTCTCTCTCTCTCTCTCTCTCTCTCTCTCTCTCTCTCTCTCTCTCTCTCTCTCTCTCTCAGGCTGACAGTCCAGAGGACATGCACAGCTGGATTAAGGCCATCTCAGGGGCGATCGTGGCTCAGCGTGGCCCCGGACGCTCGGCTAACACTGTATGTATGCTGTCAGGCTCATGTTGTATTCATGTTTGTCGTTGGAAATCAACGTCTAAACGGCCGTAGTTTACCAAGGACTTTGGTAATATTTAGTCACATTTTAGTTATCAATTTGAATTAACAGATTATAACCATAGACTGTATAAAAGAAGTGGATGCCCTGAAGCCTCCCCTGCTTCCTGGTCTCTGTTCCTCTAAATGGGGCCATAATTTACTAAATGAACATCATGCTGTGTTGAAGAAGACTTGAAACTAGCGACTGAGACCATAAACTCATCAGGAAAGTGTTTACTGAGGGAATAAATCAGCTGAGAAATAGAAACATTTTCTCAGACTTCTATACAATCACACTTCTTTCTGCAGCCGCTGGAGTCGCCCCCTGCTGGCTGCTAGAGAGGATGCAGGTTTGAGGCTCTTCAGCACTGGCTTCACTTATCAGACTTGGAGATTTGATCATAAGCCAAGACTAAAAAAATTTCTGTAACTTTATTTTTATTCTTTTCAATTTTACAGCAGAACTTATGAAAGAGCACATAGCAACACACGTGCACACACACACGTGCATATCCCTGGCAGCCACAAAGATAAAAATAAAAAGATAATTTATCTTTTCCATCAATAAGATAAACAATTTATTTTGTTGAAATTTCCTTTACATTGAGCTCTGTTGTGTGAAGTGGCTCCATATGTGGCAGAAAAAGTAACGACAGCAGACAAACCTCTTGCTGAGGTTTAAAACGTGGAACATTTTAATTAGATTATCTTAATTTATTCAGGGAAAAACAATCATAAATGCTAAACTTCTGTCTCATCTCATTTGTATCCCACATCCCGGAATATATTAATTGTAAATCAGTCGTTCTGTGATTGTAAGTGTTATAGTAATAGTAGAATATTTGTTATTTAGATATAATGTACATTGTACCTCACATATTGCACAGATTCAGCCAATGTTTTATCGTGTTTCCCCCTTTTTATTTTAGGACTTTCACAACCTGATGATGATTATGATGTCAATGGTTGAAATGTGTTTCACGCCTGCAAAGTTTTCTTTTGCTCTGTCTGCCTCAACACACCTTGCACACTCAGTCTCTTCTCTCTCTTTGAACAGTTTCCTTCCAAAACCACACAACAAATCCACCAGAAGAAAACAACTAAAGTAGTAAAAACTAGTAAAAACTAGTCTTTTGGCATTTTACAGCAATTACTATACTATACTGTCACCATTTTTGTCAGCCTTGAAATTAATTTTTCTTTACTGTTCTAACAGAGACAAACAGGAGAATCTGTAGAAAAGATCATTACACCAGAGCCGTACAGTTATCTGAAACTAATCAGCCACTCGTGTTCAGGCAACATTTTGCAGACATGTATAATGTGAATATTCTGTCTGCTTTACTGACAAAACATCTGGGCTGTATTACATTTCCTGCAAAACGGCACAAGTTCATGTAAAATGGTAAGAGGTTAACACTGGACTCTCTTCAGTAAGGCCTCTGTGGATGGATGTGTTGTATTTTGGAAAGGAGCTCTTCACATTACTGTAACTGAGCTGTGTTGTAAACTGTTGTTTTCAGATCCGTCAGGCCAGAAGGCTGTCCAGCCCTTGTATACAGAGGTATACACCGTTCTGCAGTGGTGAATGCAGCACGTATGTGACCCCATGCCGTTTTCCCCAAAGTCCCGATTCGCCCCATCCACCAGCCTCCCCTTACCGAGCATTTACCTCGCACACTACAGGAGCTCTCTGCTTCTGTGTCCAACTGAGGTATTTTTATCTAGCAGCACAAAAGCCAGCGTGAACCCTGTAGTGTTCATCCATCTTAAAGTGACTGCTAGCTTTACAATTTGGATAGCCTCGCCACCTCGTAGCTGAGTCTGTGGTAACAGCAGGAAGATTCATAAAAGTCTGCTCCTCCATAGAGGCAAAACCTGACGATTTAAGACGCCATATTTTCCTTTGCACCTAAATTAATAAGCGTCTTGAATCCAGAGTACAAACTGAAATCTCTTTAAACTGCATACACATGTATGTTTGATGTAGGTGTAAAGTGAGGCCTTAATTGGTTCAGGAACTATCAAACTGAGTGCTGCATGAGATAGACCTGGTAATTGACCTTTGACCCAATGGGGCCAGGTGTTTGACCAGAGCTTGTTGGCAGATGTGTTTGTGCAACACTGATGATCATTTCATGCCTGGATGCTGTTTCTTGGCAGCGTCCTCATCCTCCATCATAACTCGTCCCACCCAGGCATCACGTCTTCTTATTAATCTTGTTGCTTTAAGACACCCCGGCTTCTCGTCATTTTGTTTTTTCATTTATTATGTGTGTTGTGCAAGCAGCCAAATTAGAGGTCATCCATCGTTCCATCGTTTCAGACAGGTCAAGCTGTACTTTCCCTTTCATTCCCATAACATGACCAATCATCTTTTGAACGTTTCATGTCTGTCTTCACTCTTTTCTTCCTCGTCTCAGCTGTTTTCTTCACTTTGTGTGTCATTATTCATGTCTTAATAACATTTACAGCGTTCCTGACCTGCAGCTGAACTTCGGAAAACCAAATTTATCATGAGCTACTTCTTTTTTTTCCCGCTAACCCTCTGTCATGTTGTCTTCCTGTTTTTCCTCTGTGTGTGTGTGTTTGTGTGTGTGTGTGTGTGTGTGTGTGCTTTTCAGAGAGTGAAGTGTGACAGTGACGTACTAACTTTCCCCAAATGAGCCCTGCTGCCTACTTCCTGCTCCTCCCACCGCTGCTCATCGTCCAATCACCAAGCCCCACTGCCTCTCCGCTTCCTTAGCAACTGCTGATCGATCCCGCCCTGCTCCTTGGCAACTGCAGCATCACTTGTTCGTACGTGTTGCTTGTAACTGCATGAACCCTTGTGTTACGGTCACAATTCACAGCATTTCATTTGGATGGATATTCTGTGACGCCATATCTCAACTATTAACACGGCAGGTAAAATGTTATCATAACTGAAATAACGGGCGAGGTTGTTTTATAAAAAAGAGTAACAACAAATCCCTCCTTTTTAGTTTTCCAGTTCAGTAGTTCATTTTATATTTATAATCTTTACTTTACAATGTGTTTATAAAGTGGGAGCAGTTGGTTTGAGTGTCCAGAGTTCATTTTCTGTATGTTAGATCGTCGCGTCTGGTTGGATCGACGGGGTTGTTTGTCAGGCTTGGCCGTGTGCTCAGGCAGATTAACAGCAGTGGTTCTCAAAGTGGGGTCAGTGGGACCCCATGGGTCTTTGAGGGGGTTCCAGGGGTCCCCAGCAAAAAGAGGAATCTTTATTTTCACTATAATTCAATCCACAAATAACACAGTAACAGACTGTATGACTGTTTTGGTCATGGGTTTCATACACTTTCTGTTATAAAACATCTAAAAGCAAAAGTCAGAAAGGGAACCCTGGAATAAATTCTTACCCATTGGGGGTCCGTGGTCTAATTTGTGTCAGTTTAGGGGTCCTTGATGTGAAAAGAAGTCCCGTCCAGATATGGCTGGACGATATGGCCAAAAATGTTATCATGATAAACAGTCATTCGATATCAATAATTATCACGATAAGTATGAAATCGTTATTTCTTTCAAGTTTAAAGGCTGATTTCTACTCCTGAGTAAAAGTTGAAGAAACCTGATGGTTAATTGTGGTCTTTTCTTAATGGTCAACACTTGATGCCAAACAGTGGATCACTTCACAAATCTGAGGTAGAACATTCAAAACTATTACGATAAAATCTTTTTCAACAAATATGCACAAGTAAAATCAAGTAAAAACTTTTTTCAGTAATTATTCCTCCACAAAATAAACTTCTTAATAAAAAAATAAGTCCTAATTCGTATGATTCAAGTGAATAAAGTCAGACATTTATTGAATATTTATTGAACATTTGTTATATTGTTATTGAAAAAAACTTATATTGCAATAATCATTGTTATTGTTTTATTGTCCAGACTAAAACGGTGAAAACAAAGACCTAAAACGGAGAGGTTTGAAAACGCTGCCGACTTTAGAAACGATGACGCAGACGCTCACGCTCGGCTCTCTGATTGGGTCTTATAAGTCATGCAAAGCAGAAACACAACTGAGAGTTTTTTTATTTGGTATTTTTATTACCGTGCAAATAACACACCTACACTTGTACTGCGCATGTCGCCGTAATTACTTTGCAACGACTCCCAGTCTGTTTTCCGCCGCCACAGCCACATTTATCACCGCCATTCAGTAACAGTCCCAGCTCGTTATTGGTCCACGCAAAATATAATCTGGTGCGGTTCTTCATCTGCAGTGCTTTAGTCTTTCGCCAAATCTTCTGTAGACCATCTGTTTCATGTTTACACCGGCACGCGCACACCCAGTGTACGTGAACGGCCACTAGATGATTATATTTAATATAGACTGAGATCAACTCTGAAACGCAGCTAAAACGCTGATGTGGACGGAGATCATATTCATTTTAAAACTCGAGTAGTGCGGATGGGGCCTTACGGCCGCAATGTCCGGAATTCAAAGTGAGGTAGTCCAACAAGCAAAGAAAATCCAATGAGGCAACATGAATATCCAAGTGCACAGACAAAAAACCCCCACAAATGATCCATAGTGTCAGGCAGGTGAAGAATACATTTAAAACTAATAGATCATCACCAACAGGCAGGGGTTTAGTCAGACGCACAAGGAACAGAACAACAACGGTCTGAAAAAGACTTCAAAGAACTGAGAACTATAAATGCAGACTCACACAAACAGCGAGGGAACAAAAAGGTGAAACCCATTAAGGCTAATCGGACCAAATTAGACTGGACAGCAGAGAAAGACGACTTCAAAATAAAACAGGAACGAAACACAGACCAAAACAGTGACGATTTTACAAAATATCTGGTTTTGATAAAAAGTTAAAGCTCAAGGAGAGAAGTCAGCAACGACTTCCAAGTGCCCTTCTTTAAGAAACATCCAGTCAGAGTTTTATTAGACAGAGTTGAGCTGAAGCTCCAGATTCCGCTCTGTAGAAATATGAGAAAGCGTTTAAATCTGTTCCCTTAAAGATTCTGGCTCAGTGTTGGATTAATTTAAAGGCTATGGTGTGGGGTTTTTAACATAACCTTATATTACTGAGTTCTTAAAATATCCATTTCACATTGACAACATAAATTGAGAGCACATGCAAAACATTACAGGGAAAAATTTAACACTAGTAGAACACAAACAGAACAAAAAAAGCTGCCAGACAGTTAAACAGATGTGAGAGATGTTATCACAGTATTCACATATTGGGAGCACTGAAGTAATACAAATACCGGAATTGATTGTGTAATCACTAATCCATCAAATGTCTAATATGGTTTTGTCGACCAGCAAAGTTATGAAAGCTGCTGTTTTTACTCACCTTACTAAAACAAAATGTTTGCTGAACTTAATTTCAACCCATAAAACCTGATATGCATGCTGTTTTCTTTTTATATCAACAATGGATGCCAGACACATAACATGTCAAAATGTGCAGGTAAATGTTTCCTTGATCACCTGATAACACGACTTTGTAATCATGAAAGTCATCGGTGTTTTTTTTTTTTTTTTTAATGATTGCCGTTAAATAAGAGTTGGATGCTAATGAAAACTATTACTATTATTACTTCTTCAGACCTAAAAGCTTCTTATCTATTACTTATTACCTGAAATAATTTCCCCAGATATCAAAATTTACCTTTAGCGAGTGTACTGGTGAACAAGGTGACCTTAAAGTCTCATATTTTGACCTGCAGATTAATTAGATGCCCTTAACTGCACAATCTGAATCTGCCAGATGTTTCTTAACCTTTCACCCACAATGCATTTCATCACCCATCCACTGAGTCATTGCTGTGTCTTGTCCATGCACCCATTCATCCATCTGTCCCTCCATCATTCATACCCATCTTTGTCTTCCCCCTCTCACTTCCTCTCCCTCCTCTCTCTGCAGGAGCACAGTGACCTCTCTTCTGCTTCCACCTGCTGGTACCCCTATGAGGAACTACACCACCCACAATCCTCCTCCAGCACCGCCACAACGGGCCCTCAGCCTCACGCTGGACACGCACCACCAGGACAACTTCCTGGGCCTGCTACCGTGGAGGCTAAGCGGCGTCCAGTCGGTGATGCTGCCCCTCCCCTCGGCGCGCTCCCGCCTGTCACTGCAGGAGACGGTGCGGTCTTCAAAGTAACGGATGTGAATGAGTCACCGTGGAAACAACACGGCGAAATCAACCAGCTGGGCTTTGTTGGTGGCGGGGAGAAGCTGAACACTCGCCCCACTGAGAATTCTGACCTTAATGTGACCCTAATTTGACGATGACGACCATGATGGTGACGATGATTGACAATCTCTAAAGGACACACACACATATACTGCACACACTTCTACATGAGCTCCGTGTGCTGAGGCTGAGTTCTTAAAAACTACCCGACTGGCCAAATAATCCTTCAACAAAACTTCCTGGGACCATTTTCTATATGTGTAGAATAGGACCTTCGTCCTCTGCTGTTTTTTTCCTTCACTTACGTCTTCCTGGTTGTTATTAACAAAGTATGGCTCCTGGCAAACAAAAAACATCTTGTCGTGCAAAAAAACTAACTAATTGTTATTGTACAGTGAAGTTTTGTTTCGGTAGGGTGAAACCTGCTCATTGCGCTGCGATGGGCGGCTTTCATGATTCTTGTAAGAAACAGACAAACCAAAGTTTGTTTTTCTACAGCAGCAGCTCAGATGTTGCCAGCTGTTTAAACTGTCTGTGTCTGACTCTGCTGAGACACTGACTAATCCAGCTTCTCAGTTTTAAGACAATCCCGCTCGATGTTATAAACTCTTTAACCCAGAATTGTCTCTCTCATCTCCAGTAGAAAGGCTCATCCTGTCAAACGTGTTTTAGCGATTTTAGAGCTCCAAAGTCCAGATTCACTGAGGTTGCATTTCTGGGGATGTCTGCACAGTGTTTTCATCTTATTTACCAAGAAATGTACTGCTGTTGTCGTCCCTAATGTCTCAAATGTCAGAATTTCAAAAATAAGAAGGAATAAACTTCTTCAAGACATAATGAAGGTAATTAATGGATTTAAAAAAGTATTTTTAAGCCCAAGGGCCTGCTCACACAAGCATTTATAACATGCAGGTTAATTTCAGTGTAATCGCTGTGATTCATCAGTGGCTTCACTTATAGAGGTGAAGTTATTCTGCATGGAGCTTCTGCATAGAGTTAAACTTTTGTGAGTTTTGAGACGATGGTACATCTCTCTTTTGAATGCACTCTGGAAACATATTCCATAGTCTGTGATTGTGCTAACTAGCTTGCTAACTGGTAGGTAGCTTCCTGGTTCCAAGCCAGCTAGTTTAACGGGCTTAAGTGGTACTTTACCGAGCTTCCAGCGCCGCCCTTTCTGCAAGCCACTTTCTGGTCTGCCCGTGCACTAAGATGCATTTAGTTCATAAGCTGAACATTAAAAGTGAACATTTGCAAAGTTTAAGTGCTGTTTCACCCAACTGCGGCATCATTTTGGGTTTATTCTTTGTTTTGATATCAGGACTGAAAACCTAGTTGGTGTGACTGTGATTTACTCAGTCTATATCTCCAGCAGTGAATTATTTAAATTTACCGTGTACAAAATTGATCTCAAACAAAGAGAAGAGATGCAAATTTAGATTGTCAATCTTTCAACATTTAAATTACCAAAGCAGTGCCACGGTACATGACTTTGATAAATAACTTGACATTGTGCACTTTTCGCTGTGCAAACCACCAGAGAATCTGAGCTGAGGCTTTTTAATGTTTAAGATAATACGACTTAAAGCAGCATTAATAAAAGGACCTGCTGCTGTGGACTGAAGTGTTGAGGAGCTGATATTCATTCTGCTCACCACCTTTACTCACCTCACTCCTGTACATTCATTTTACCGCTCCTTTGTAACTCCATCAGATGTTGATGTGTTTGTTTTAGTAGTTTTAGTTTAAAGACGTGGGAGACAAGAAACCAAACTCGTATTGTGTATTTTTTGATCTGTAAATGTTGTTTTCGGAGCTGCAGGCAGGGTTGGAAGTGTTCTTCCTGTTGGCTCCCAGGCTGCACACTCTTCGTTGGAAACTGGTTGTGGGTGTTTTTTTCTGTTCTGATGTGCTTTTGATTATATTATTTACAGTGATGAGATGTTTTTGAGGAAAAAGAACTACATTTATATGTTGTTTACTGACTTTTATAAACACGTGTGCATACTGCATGCACACAACCACCCTGCACCCCCACTGCTGTTGTTCCCTGTTAAACGTAAGCTGGGTTAAGTGCCTGCATTGTTCTTTCTAAAGACTTGATGAAATATGACGAGCTGTTTTGACCCTTTTTAGTGTGTACTTGATTCTAAGACCATGGTTCATCTGTTTATTAAAAGATATTTGAAAATAATTTTACCTGGATTCAGGTTTGGTGGATGGAAGGAGAGTAGTGGTGGCGGGTTTACACTCAATCATTTCAAATTTTAGGGTTCATGGAGAAAAGTAACAGAGAGCAGATGAAGGAAAAAGGTTGGAAATATTCACTTATTCTCAAATATCACAAGAGAAGATCAAAACCAACAACTTTCTGACTTCCCTGCCCTGTCTGTGGCACTCAGCCATAAGGCCAAATCTCACAAATGCTCACAAATGTATAGTTTCATATTTTTCAAAATGTCCCCGTCCTGAAACAGCTTGATGCTGTAGCTTTTAGCAAACGTTACTCAAACAGGAGGAAGTAGCGCATTTGTTGGGACTATTTTCAGCGGTAGATTAATACACACCTGGTGATCTAGTGGAGGGATGCCCAATCAGAGGTATTTTTAACCAAGGAGATAGTAGAAGTAGAGCTTGCGAATGCAAACTTGAACTTTAAACAGAACCTACTGAAAAGAAGAATGATAACAGTCTTAACTAATATCCATTTTGAGTTTGAGCCAAATAAATGCATTCGGATCATAACAGGTGGGTGAGTTTATGAGTGTTTGTGGCAGCATGATGGCGATTGAGTCAAAATAAACTACCGTGAGTGTGTGTTCATGGTGATGGAGGAACATGTCACCCAGTGCAACAGTGTGATGTGTGTTTATAGTTTTTAGACAACAGTGGAGCTCTATGGCACAGAGGAACCTCATATATTAGGTTTTGGATACACACAGTACTTTTTAGTAGATACATTCATTGTTGGTTAGTTTTGCTGTGTGTGTTTGGACGAAACAGAAGCTAATATCTAATCTAATCTTTATTCATTTATAAGGGTTGCAAATTGTATTTACATTAGTGTACTTTAAATAGTAACTTAACACCATGATGTCATGCAGAGTCTCTTGCTGAAAGTTTTATGCTTGTTCCACCTCTGACCTGCTGGTGGGTGTGTGGGGGCTCTGTTAACACCCAACATGTACTTCACTGCAAAAATGTGAGACGTTTTAACTGCTGGACTGGAGGTCTGCAAGAATGAATTTGAGCGAACAATCCCAAGATCTGGAGATCAAACCAGTAATACAAAGTGATTATTTAGAAACCCTCAGAGATTTATAAATTTATGTACCTTGAATTTGTCACTGAAGTACTGTTTCTTCAGGGGTTTCTGAAGGTTTACTGGACATAAAAGTGAGGCTCTGCTGCCATCTTGTGGGTTTAAATCCTTCAGTGAGGAGCAGATCTGTGTATGTCCACTAGATGTCACTGTTTCTAAATCTTCTCATGTTTCCTCATTTCATGTGTCCTGATTTATGGCTGGAGGAAGCCTCCATTCTTCATGCTGCTCCTCATCGGGTGGAGGCTCTCCAAATAAACTCTTCTGAGGCGGTTGTCGGCCGTTAGCTCATGATTTCTGGACGACGGCTGCAGAGCGTCAGTCCCTTGGCGTCCTACACCTCGAGGAGTTGCGTAAGATGAACATCATGGAGGCAGAGTGTGATTAAGACATCTATCTGAGCTGATGCAGAGTACATGTCTCTGTTGGATACACAAACACTTTAAGCTATTTCTCTTTCTTCCACACTGACACTGTGATCCTGTGTTAGTGTATTTTCTATTTTGTACGTTCTCTTAGTTTTTTTTTTAATTATGATTATTCATTTTTACATTACAGCTTTTATCAGGTTGGGAGGAAGATGTTTGCCATTTTCCCATCATTATCCTTTTGAGTTGAACCAGACAACATGTTCCTCAGTGGAACAATGAATCATAGAGCGCAGAATCAGTATTTAACTGCTCTCTGGAGCCATGTTTCACTTTCGTCCATATCCTAGTCCGTGATCTCAAACCTGACCTGGAGGCTTCTGCTTCAGCTTCATTCCTCTTCTATTAGAAGCGGCAAATTCCCACTCACATCCAAGATATTTATTGTAAATAAATGTTATTTGCACTTTATTATACAATTTTCTTATTTTTAGCTGCTTCACTTTCAGGGTCTTGTGCACGCTGGCTCAGTGTCACACTGTCATAGCTCACTGAGACACTTGAATAGTAACATCTGTGCTTTTATTACTATGACAAGTCAAAATCTGTCTGTTGTGAAAAAGGCTTAGCAGTCTCAAACAACCTTGTTCTTCAAATTCATCTCTGACTTTGAGTCAAGGCAACTTCCCGTGAAACTTTATAAGAGGACACACTACTTGGCCAAAGATCTGGAATATGAATGTAAGTCGCCAAAACTGAATATTACAGGCAACATTACTACTACTACTACATTATATATTTTTCAATGTGTGTGGGTGTCTGTGTGTCCAGGATGTATATGTCTAAACACTGCCTTCACTTATTATGAAACAACTGTCCTTCTCCAGCTGTTATAGTCAGCTCTGTTAAAACAGCCACAAAAATATTTACAAATCAGGTTCAGTTTACGTGGACTCCTGAGGCCTTAAGGAGAAACTCCCCTAAATGACCCTCACTTATTTATTCCTTAGGGTAACCGGCCAAAAGTAGAGATGATGACGTCTCATCCAGATGTTTTCAGCAGCTAGAGTTCACTGTCAGAAAGTGTTACAGCAGTACTATAAAGATATTTGATGATGGATGGAAGAAAATCAACTCCTTTACCTTTCATTTTGCTGTTGAAGTACAGAATATCTGCAGCTCAAAATAGAAACAACGTATTTTGGCAGACAACACTGACATCGCATCACCCTACTGGACTGAACTATGACCCCAACAGTTGCACTGTGAGAGCCATATCAATAAATCCTTAAGAAATGAGATGGTTTATTTCCTATTTTATGAGCCAAGAATTTTCTCTTGTCTTAGGTTTTCCTACAAACAAATGTAAAACTGCCTGCCTCAGACCATGCATACTGTTACGGGATTGCGTGGTGTGTGGACAGAGAGGACCCAAATGCAGCACTCTGAGGGAAGGAGGTTTATTGAGGGAAAAGGGGTGAGAGGGACTGTAGTGGAGGGAGAGGAGGACGTCGGGGAAGCACAGGCATGGGGAACCAAGGAGACAGGGGGCCAGGGAGCCGGGGAACACAGGGGCCGAGGAAGCGAGGAGAGGCAGGGGAACAGGGAGGACGCCGTGAGGGAAGTCCGAGGAGGAGTGGGCCGGTGGATGAGCCCAGCCGAACGGAGGACGAGGGTGAGTGTACCTGGGAGGGAAGACAGCGACAAGGCACAGGGTAAATGTGAAAAAACAAGAAACATGAAAGCCTGAACGTGGGGATGGCACCGGGTATGGAGCAACGATGATCAAGCGAGGATGGTGTGGAGAACCGGGGTTGAAATACAGGCAGTCATGAGGTGATTACTGGCAGGTGTGGCAGGCTGATGAGGTGGCTGATGGGATGCAGGTGCAGGTAGTTGGCTGGGCTCAGGAGCAGAGGGAGAGAGCACACAGGGGAGAAAACACAGGGAGGCAGGCAGAGAACAGAAAACCAAGGAAAAAAGCAGAAAAAACCAGGACACTCACCGTCAGCCGGGCTGCCACCACAACACATACAATTCAATCCTATAAGCTTTATTGGCGTAAATGTTTAGGTTCAACAATGTTGCCAATGCAGAAAGTCACATATAAACACATAAAAACATAAAGGCTATATATAAAGTAATTAATAAACAATAGAATGAAATTTTAAAAAAAGAAAGAGGAAAAAACAAACTAACTAAAAAACAAATATATCTTGCATTGAATGTCTTGCTTTTTGACTTGCAGTATCATTTTCTCCTGCCAGTATCCTTACAGTAAATGATGACTTATAGAAACTGTAAAGACGCATCTTTTATCTAAATCTAATATATATAAACAGAATATCTTATATACTGCAATGTGCCTTTTCTGGCTTCCACCTCAGACACTATTATTTCTTCAGTTGTGAAAGTTTGCTTTTGCTTTTTTGCTGTAGGGGCCATGTGTCGCTCTTTTGGAGTGAGCAGCCTTGTTTTTAGTTACTCTGCTCATGTATATCACCTGCTTCTCTTTATAAAAAAGCTCTGAAAGCTCCCCCAGATGAGGACTAAATATAGTTCCGGGATATAGTTTTAGGCCCCCAAAAGGTTTCTGCTATTGGATTAGTACTTTCCGTTGACCCAGGATCTTCAGTTCAGATGCTGTGGAAACAGAAACATTAACATGCAGAGACAGAGACTTTATTACAACTCTAGTTCCTCAGTTCTTGGGACTAAGGAACAAACTGTAAAAAAAAAAGGGCCTTTGTTGATTTGTTACGATGTAGTGAGTTTTCAATATCAGTCTTCAAAGGAGAGACAGACCCTGAATTATAATGCAGCTCATAAAGATAATGGTAGTTTTTATTAGACGTAAGTTTGTCTACTTATTCCACTAAACTAAACAATGTGTCAGCACCTTTCTCACCTCACACGTTCCCACGTCCCACCCTTCCACCTCAGGTCAAGTCTTCCAGTCAGTTTGCCATCATCTCAGTTTTCATCTCACACTCCTGCTGAAACACCAGAAAGCTGCTGTTTCCTCCGTTACACAGCCAGCCATCTCCATCCTGTGATTTGGATTGATTGAGGCTTTATCAGGGCTGCACTTAGGACTGGACTCTCATCTGTCTGATGAAGCCACCCTGCACTCTAGCAGCTAATAAGTCAAACGGGAGCAAGGGAGTAGCTGGCTCTGAGAACATATTTTAAATGGGCCCCTGCTAATAGACTTCAGGGGAAAGAACCATTTGTTCCTTCAGAGAGAAAGACAGAAACCAACCGCTGCTGCCAGTTGAGGATTTAAGAACGAGCTGTGATGCTGCCAGTAAGAACAACATAAGAGCAAAACAAGGAGGCCTGCTGCTGTGAATACAGTCCAAAACCCTCTATATCAAAGTGAAAGCAGCTTTGTTTGCTTGTAAGTGGTGCAACATGTGTGTAATATAAAATGTTAATCCCAAGTGTTTCAATCTTTACACTTTGATTACACATTAATTGATGTAGCTACACCAGGTTTACTTT